TATTTTTATTTATTTGTGGAGACACTCAAAATTCATTATTTATTATTGATTTTCATCCCCGGAGCAGTTGCATCTCTATCTTATGCGGATACAAATCACGACCCGTTCCAACTATTCCGAGCGATTCGCGCATAAGCGCGCGCCTATGCAACGATATAAGTTCCATGCATTACGGCTGCACTTGCAACCTGGGAGGCCCACCAGATAATGCGAAAAGAGAACCGAGAGAAGTAGATAGAGGTAGGATAGGTAACGATCGTGTGGACCGTGGAGGCAAGCTTAGATTATATTGCGTGCATTGCATTTTAGCCGCGTTAGATTTCTTGCCGATCTGCAAACAGAAACCCACATACACCCTCTTTTTTCCATGTGATAATAATCCCCGATTTTTATTTAACTCTTAACTCTCTCAGATAATGATACATGGTTTGCGAGATCAAAAATTAATTTTTGTGATGCTTTTTTTATTTTTATTATGTTCACGTGCTATGTGATTTATATGTATTTTTCTTACATTTTTTTCCTTTAACATTTGTTCCTTCTAAAATTTTGAATCGAATTTATCCTCATCAATTTTTATATACATAATAATGAGAACGAAAAGATTTGCAAAATCAATGTCAGTAATGGTATAATCTCTAATCACGTCATTATTATTACAAATGAATTGATTCATGTGATTACAAAACAGAATAAATAAGAATTCGTTATAATAGATTGAAACGTAGACGAAAACGTGTCAGTATTCTCTATAGCGATAACGAACAAGTTACACAGCTTGTCTGTTAAAAACAGACAACTAATGGATAGAAGTAACATACATATCAATTGTTAATATTTCCATTTAAATAATTTAATTTTTATTTTTTAATTTTAATTTAGTTTTCTTTCTTTCTACTTTGCAAATTTTTTTCTATCTCGATCTATCTCTCTTTATACATATAAATAAATATATAATTTTATAAGATAATCATAAATATTGATAAACCGAAAACTAAAAATTATTATTGTCTAACACTTTTCACATTATTATATTGTCGGAAAGAAATAGTCAAAAGCAATTGTTAAATTGCCGTGCCAAAGTTAATAAAATCGTTTTGTTTTAATTCTCGCTGATATGAACAATAATCAAATAATTGAACCAGATTTCCTACGAAAAATGAAGTTGATCGGCCTGACAAGCGCAAACAAATGGAAATAACTTGTCTTTTTAAAAATGTGACACATACCTGTCACGAGGCTGATCATTTATAAATAGCACATAGCGGTACCACATTCGCATATTAACATTCTTTTGTATCTCCTCACAATGTAATGTAAACGCAAACGTCTTTGCGTCTCGAGAGAATCTTCATTTGACGCCCACGTTTGTACTGGCAATGGGTTAAGCCATGGGCATGTATTTTCTCGAATATCTAATCCTGTAAATCACAAATTTATTCGATGCTTGCGTAAACTTAATCAGTCATTTCACGCCGAGAAATACAGACTGAAAGTTGCGTAAGTGCCGCAAATTGAACTAATACCAACGATTCAGGTACTTCAATTTAAATTGGACGCTGACAGATGAGTAATTTTACAAATATTTAGAGCAAAAGCTAAAACTTTGAACATTCTATAATTCACAATGTAAATTTGATAAATGATTCTATGTATATGTATACTTCTTAAAATAATTAAGAGATAAAAAAATTGTCTAAAAAAATAGGCCAATTTTAAATAGCTGTAACTTTGTTTCAAAAAATGAGAATTTAAATTCTAAAAAAGAGTTTTAAAGCTTGAAATCTCTACTTTCGAGAGGTCATAGCTTTTTTCATTTTCTTCAATTCTGATAATTTTTATACACAGAAAACGACGAACATAACAAAATAAAAAATTTTTTTTACTTTGTAGACATGTCGCATATACAAGAAGATTTGAAAAAATTTTTTGACATTTTCACGTTAAAGTCTGAAGTTTTCCCTGCAAAATTGTTTTTTAAAATTTAAATTTCGATCTTTCCTTATCAAGTTACCGTAAATTGAAGAGAAAATGTCATTTTCATTTTAATTGTTCATAACTCGGTTCAAAATCATCGTACAACAATTTTAAGAATGGATTCTTAAAGCTGAATTTTTGCTCTATAGTATGATAAGACACTGAATTTTTTTTAATTCGTGAACTTTTTACAAATAAGTGAAAATAACGAGGAAATTCGCGAATTTTCTCCTTTTTGTTTAAACTTTGAAAATAATTACGTATTTTTGAAAGTAGAGATTTCAAGCTTTAAAACTCTTTTTAGGATTTAAATTCTCATTTTTTGAAACAAAGTTACAGCTATTTAAAATTTGCCTATTTTTAGACAATTTTTTTATTCCTTAATTATCCTGAGGAGTGTATATAATAATTTAATGCATCGTAATGATGCGATAGTTTGGGCATCTGTAAGATTTGACATGTGTAAAAAATTATATACATATATAAAATGTATAATATTATATGTATATATTGTATAATAATTCATAAAATATTAAATTTTTACCAATGAAAAACAGTTTAAAATCTTTTAATTAATAGCATGGTGTACAAATATCTAAATACGTTTTAATACTATAATACGTTTTAAATGTGTGTAATTTTAGATGTTACATTTCTTGATGACGAATATATATATATATATATATACCTACAAATGCTAAAGATTTCGGAAGAATATCGTAAAAAATATAATTGAATATACCTATCGATTTGCACATTGCAACGTTAAAACTATCGTCGCATTCTGCAGTACTTGACGTTTTATGCGTGGACTTAGAGACGGCGATTTGCGTGGGATTGGAATGTCTATGGGACTCGATCGCATTTTACGTTAAAACGCGAATATGCATACGATAGTGCTTTCGAAGCATCGATTTTTGAAGAATAATTTACACAAATTACAATCCCTATACTTTCTGAGTTTCTGTAGAAATTTAGTTTTATTCACGATTTATTGTAATGAAAATAATTTAGAAAAGCTAATACAATGACACATCCCGCGACTTATTCCCGATGTTGGATTTGCAGTTGTATATGCATACATAGCTCGAATCCTATTTATGCTAATAAGTGCCGACTATTCGTTTGAGCGGTTCATAGCACGCTTTATTGTTTTAATATCTGAAAGATTTTAATGTAAATACATGTATTTTAATATTTAATGTATATGTAAAATATATATATCAAAATTTTCTTGTATATATTTAATCAATATTTATGCAACAATATTTTTATCCTACGTATGTTCTTTTATAATAAAAATCTAGGAGTTTTGTATATACATATGTGTGTAATACGCATGTATATACATTAAATTTTATTATATATTCATGATTTATATTTGATATATTCATGATTTATATTTGAATGCGCTGCAATTGGCATCATTTCTGCATAATTCTATGAAATATATTTAATTGCCACATATAATTGCAATTATTATTGTTATATTGTACATAGAAAATTAATATTAAATAAAATATATATACATATATATGCCATTTTTTATAGAAATATTTTTTCAATTATATTATTTTTTATAAAAATTACAAATTTAATTTTTTTAAGAGAGAAGATATCAATTCAAAACAACAAAGACAATTTTTAAAATAGACATTAATGGTACATTTATGCAACATCTTGTATGGATTGGTGTGTCGTGATGCTTTGAATCAGCACTCGCATATTCACGAGAGTGCAAGGACCGTTCGGACGTAGTTGCAAGTTGCAACCGCACGCTTACTAGGCAGGGACACTCTGATCTGATGCAAATGTGCTCTCGACACCCGACGGGATCTGCTAGGCGTGTAGGCGAGAGAGACGTCTAGCCTCTTTTGCAGGACCACTCTGAGATGCTAAGAGTAGCGTCACATCGGTGTCCTCATATCCATAGGCGTCGCAAACTCTTATTCCTTCTTGTTTAAAGAGTACGATATTTTATTGAATAAAAATTACGATATAAAAAAATTCAATTATTTTCTTTAGCTCATGTGTGTGTGTGTGTGATTACTAGATTATTTATCTAGTCATCTAAATCCTATAACTTTTTTTATATGTGTATGTGTATGTTCCCTTCTTTTATATTATTATATACAAATCAATCAGAAAATAAGTGCATTTTTTGTTCTAAATGTCAAATTGTATTTTCAAGTGCTAAGATGCACGCGATATATTCTATTTTTTTATCGCATATACATATAATTAATAAATACTTAAAATATTTTTAAATAGAACTATATAAAAAATACACTTGACATAAAATCGTAATTTATGTTTACTGAATATTTATTTATTTTCTCGAAAATTTAATATAAAAATATATTTTTTTAGATGATATAATATTGAATTATTTAATTTAAAAAAATAGTTGTGACTGAAATAATAGCTACTGATAAAATTATACATGCATTGAATCTATTTCTATAAAAGTGGAATCTTTAATTAGGAATTTGTTCAAAACTTGTAGTTTGTTCAATATTTTGACTTCAATAAAATATTTTTAACATTTATTATAAGTAAATTTTAAGCATTTTCAAATTTTGTTAAACATACGATCTTTTCTCATATATAATTTTCGGTCTACCCTATATATTCCGCGGGAGTTGCTTGCAACTTTCCATATCAAGAAGTTTCAAAGCTTCGGTAGTGGGATAAACAGGGACGCCTACACATATGTAAGACTGAACAGAAGTCGATAATGTATAAATGAACAAAATTTACTTGATAAAGTTCGATATTAAAATATATGTTATGATGTCATATAAATTAGTTGATTCTTCGTTATATAAATATATATATATATATATATATATATATATATATGCCAAAATACAATCTTACAATTACTGTATTATACTAGCAGCTTCAGCAGTACAAACACAAACATGAGATACTAATTGCAGCGCATTTGGACTTACATATTATGTGGGATAAAATTAATAAAATAGATTAGAAAGAGATAAAATAACATAATAAATCACATGTCTCTGATATATCTCACAATTTCTCTGTATTTACAATATAAATATAATGATAATTATACATTGGATATTCGTCACATTATGTTATCTTAAATCAAATTTATTATTTTAAAGTTCAGACATATCTAGCAAGGCATTTAAATGTGTCGGCATCCAATTTGTACCATTATGACACACAAACAATACATTGCCATCGATATACGCTTGAACGTTGCCCACTTTGTATACTTGCTTGGCCTCTTTATATCTATTCGGAATTGGCATAAATAATATACCTCTCTCTTCGCATTTCTTTTGCACAAGATCCTTGAAACCTTGTGGAATTTGTGAAGCTGTTCGTACTGCCTCTGCGAGCCTCTGTAAAAATACACACAATATTTAATAATAATCGAGCGATTTAACCAAAAATAATGTATAACCTACCTCCATCCTCGGCTGTGCGATCGATGCCATTTGTGACATTGTTGGTTGAGTTCTCTCTAGATTCGTTAAATATGAAACGTGTTCCATCGCGCCAGGTTGATTTTGTGGCCCGCTGACGGCCCTATTCATCATGTCCAATGCTTTCTTGAAATGCTCTGTAACACATTTCATATATTTTATGACTATATATTTTAATAAATAGACACTGTGTGTGAGAAACAAAAATAATTGAAGTTTGAAAAAAGGAGGAACAATTTACAAAAACTTGTATCTTTCTCACGAATTATTTTTGTTTTGATGTATATTAGAAAATACAGATTAATCACACATACATGCATTCTGAGTTATGTAAATTATTTCGCAGTCTATACAAATATATAAAAATTCAAAGTGATCTATGAGAGAGAGAGAGATGTTTTATATAGTAAATAATTCTATATAAACATACCTTTTATCACTGGTTCCGCCAATAACTTATCACTCAACATGCCTTTCCAACCCATATACCAGTTTGTAACTTGATCATAATTCGGCGAATGATTGAGCCAAAGTGCCAAAACTTGTAACCATTTTGGGAAAAAGAACTTGTCTAACAGTCCTGCCATAATATGAACAGGAATCAATTCCTTCCACTCGTACACCCAATTCCATGGATCTATATGTTGTTGATGTGGGTTTATGACAAATTCGGATAAGGCTATTTGCAATTTTGGTATAATATTTTTGACTAAAAACGCTTCCATATCTCCCTTGGCAAACACTTCTGCCCAAGGTTGCAGCATTAATCTAGCAGATCTATCCGATGGATGCCAACCTCCTAATGCAGATCCAAGCTTTCTTCGTATTATTGGATAAATTAAAGTATCCAAACGATTTCCTAGTTTACATAAGAAGCGATTATTATTTATCCATATAATTATACACGTACAAGTATGTGAATATACTTACGTAATAATGGCAACCAAGGATGAATCCATGTATGGATGGGTACAGTGTCCGTGAGAGGATTCCATTCCTCCACTTCTAATGTCAATTTTGGCAAAACTAATAAATCTAATATATTTTCCAAGATCCAACTGGGTAATAATGGCATCCAATGTTCTATTAATTCAATCAAAGGATCAGGCTGTCTACACGTCCATTGCCTAATTTGTTGATAAATGAAAAGTATTAGAAAAGATATAAAAAAACTATTTATATTTAGACTGATTTAGAAAAGATTGAAAAATTTAGGAATATATATTTACAAAGATGTCCTACAATTATTTTCTTTCATATTCGCAATTAAAATTCATTATAAGAATAACTTACTGTATAGCTCCTCTAATTGATGGCATCCATGCGTTCCATACTAATTGATCATAAGGATGCATAGTCCGTGTTTGCAGTGTAGTGCTAGTTCCGTTTTCCAAAATAGACTTCCACTGTTCAAATAATTTGATCGGTTGTTTCGGTTGCATTAATGGATTCCAACTTAGCAAGCAATCTTTTATTTTTGGCGTTACAAAACTACTGGCCAATTCACCGAGTTCGTACATTTTGTACTCCTCATAATAATTGTCTTGCAAATTTTTAAAAGCTTCCGCGGTTTCTTGGAGAGACAATTCATTCGTTTCGTTCATTAATCTGTCCACAATCACAAGCACATTCTCTAAAGTATCAATTAGTTGGCTGTGTTGATCCACAACTTTCGATAAAGTCTTTTTTTCCGCTTCTAAAGCAACCACTCTGTCATTTAAATGTCTCATTCGTCGGTCATTTTGTATAATATCTTGCTCGCACATATCCACGAGTAAATTTAAATTATGCTGTAGTTCTGGTAAAGCAAAATTCACCTTAGATTTTTTATCAGACGTAGTCACAGTCTCGTCAGGACATTGTTGACCACCAGCTATCGCATGATATCCACTAAGAATTCTCTGTTCTGGCCCTGTCATATCAATAACTTTAACTCTGCTAATATCACTAGATATTGGAAACTTTCTATTGGGTTTCAACTTTCCATCTTCCAAAACTTGATCTACACTTCTATAACAGTATCTAACTTTCTTTTTATTGCTGTTATCACTCTTTCGCCATTGAGATACTTTGGATTTGGATTCTTTCGATTCTTCTTCATCGTCATCTTTCTTTTTTTCTGGAATTTTTGGTACCTTTTCTGGACCATACGCACCAATCGCACCTCTTCCTCTTCTAAGATGTGCTTCTACGGGGCACTTATTCCTTGTAATTGTTTACCCAAACCTTTACCAGGTTCAAATCCCATCTAAATAAACAAATATCTTTTTATTATCATGTTTTGTTGGAATTTATATATAAATATAAATAATAGATAATTATTTAAAAAATACCTGTAATAACAATTTAGCACCAATACCCCTTGTATGTACTTCCCAACTACCCATTCCATCTTTCATTAACGAATTTACTTTATTATGTTTTTTACGCAGACCTGCAATATCGCCGTCTAAATTCAAAGAGAAAGATGGACGTGATTTCGAATTACTTGGCCTTTCATCTTCTGAGCTAAATAAGAAATAAATATATTTTGATAAAGAAAAACATATATACCAGAAATGCTAATATGTATTAAATCTCACCTAGAATCATGTTTTGTTTGAGAATCTCGTGTCTCTTCTTCATCTTCTTCATTTTCATTATCTTCCTTATCTTTTGGTTTTCCTGCTTGTTGAATACCACCAGCAACAAAATTAACTGGTGCTGTATAATTTTTAGGGCCCTTGTTAAAAGTCTTGAAAGATGGTCTGGCAGATAATTCATCCTCATCACTGTCATCCGCCCATATTCCTATGTTCAAATCAAATTGTGTGATTACAAATTTGATATATATTAAATGTGTATAATTTTCACATAGTCGTTAAATTACAATGTTCGGTCTATTTAATTCTCCCTTTTAACAACGTAATTTTAATAGTAATTTGGATATACTATACCTAGCATTTGTTGCTTCTTGGAAAGCTTGCGTCGAGGACGAGCTATGTTGAATTCATTATCCAAGTCATAGTCAGTGATTTCAAAGCTTTCCACTTCGTCTTCAGACATCTTGTCCTATTATGATCAAAGAGAGCGTACTAAAAAAAATTCTAATTGTAATTTATTATGAGATCAATTGTAATATAACAGAATATAATTTGATGCAACTCAGAGAATAGATAACCTCAATGAAGTGTTAAAGAATAAGACTGTTGAGAGCGCTATGTGGAGAAAATATGAATTACGTAGCCAAATCTACAAATCTTCTCAGTAAATAATAATGATTTTGACAATTTTTGATTCTGTTCCGTGCTAGAAAATGCTGACAAAATGTGAAATAAAAATCTGAATAGCAGTAGTCATATCAATATTAGAGCTATTATCAATTAAATTAAATAGTGAGATAGTTTAATACCTTGAGTATTCACTCGCTATTCAATATGTACTATGTGCATAATGCAAATATATTGACAAAAATGTGAAATAAAAATTGCTGAATAGCAGTAGTCATATCAATATTAGATAATATATCATTAAAATGCTGTATATGTAGTTATGGTTGCAATAACAATACTATTGCAAAGTTGCAATCTTCGGACTAACATTGCTATTCAATATGTAGCAACATTTTATGAAAATATATATGAAAGATATATATGGGTATTTATATGTATATATATGTATGAAAATATATAAGTAAAACTACATAAATAATAATAATAAAATAAGTGTAAAATTGCACGATAAATAATGAAAACGTATACATTCTAGGTTGATTATTTGATTATTTTCATCATATAACATTTCTCATGTAATAATTTTATAATTAATAAAATAATTGATTTACGATTAATTTAATTATTTTAACGTCATATATATATCTACGTGCAAGTTTGAGTGTATTTTCATTAAAAATTAAACATTACACATTATTTTATATTATTTTAATTATATGATTCTCGTCATATTAAACATTAAACTTCATACTGAAGTAGCTAACAGACTATGATATGACAGGACAACTTTCATGTTTCTAACTTTAATTAATGTAATTGCTGAATAAGAACAACACTTGAGAAGGACCACAATGTAGGTCGAAACGTAGTGTGTACTTATTTTCAATAAATAAATAGCCAGTTTTTGGTCGAATTAAATTGTATCTTATTATTTGTTAAAAATTATACAATTTGCACATTAATTCCTAATCATATATATTATTTCGGCAATTAGGATGATTTTTCAATTATGAATTACTTAAACAGAAAGTTTAATTTCCACATTGTATTATCACAATTGAATTGGAAGTAAAGCTTTAACTATGTTTTTATTATTTAATTAATAAAACTACAAATAAAATTATTGTTACTACAAACAAATACAAACGATACTAAAAGACTGCGCAAACAGATTTGGAATATATATTATTAAGTCGGATGTTAATCATTATTAATTTTTTTATGCACGCAAAGCGAAGTTATATTATTCTTTAATAATAAAATCTCAAAAATTACGACGCATGCATGCAAAAATTAATGCAATCAATGCATAAAAGATATTAATTATGCAACGCATAAAAATTTAATATTTAAATTTTTAACAGAAAATACGTATGAAGAAATAAAATTTTCTACAAGAATCTTTTGTGATCAAATATTTACACTTTCATTAGACTTGCGCGAGATTCTATACCCCCTAATTTATTACGCTGCGCAGCTCGCGCGAGACTGATTCAGCTGATTCTCGTGCGATGCGAGATATCGCGAGTCACGAGCGCGGAACCGAAGGTCACATGACTAGTGGTCACGTGACTACCACTGGGCATGTGACCACTGGTCATGTGATCATCGGTCCCGCGCTCGCGATATCTCACACGAGAATCAGTCTCGCGCGAATCGCGCAGCGTAACGGATATGTGGGGTATGGAGAATCGCGCGAATTCTAATGAAAGTGTAGATATTTGATTACAAAAGTTTCTTGTAGAAAATTTTATTTCTTCGTTTGTATTTTTTGTTAAAAATTTAAATATTGAATTTTTATGCATTGCAATATTAATTAATATAATTTTATAATTAATATATTTTTTATGCATTGATTGCAATAATAATATTTGTATACATGCGTTACAATTTTTGAAATTTTATTATCAAAGAATAATATAACTTTACTTCGCGCACGTAATTATATTCGATTAAACTACATACAAAAATTGAGAAAAAAAAATAAAAAGATACATATATGGAAAAGAAATATAATAGATATTCGGCAAATTAAAATTATGTACGTAATAGAAATTCAATAAATTAAAATTATATACATAATGAAAAATCGAGAATTAAAATTATGTACATAATGGAAATTCGGGAATTAAAATTATGTACATAATAGAAATTCGGGAATTAAAATTATGTACATAATAGAAATTCGGAAATTAAATTATGTACATAATAGAAATTCGGCAAATTAAAATTATGGTCATAGTATCAAGCAAGATTTATTGCGTCATTGCGAAGATTAACAATTTGACAGTTGTAAAATAAACAATAAAAATATTAAAAGAGCGCACAAAGTGCGCGCTTGTGTTGTCTAGTTCAATTTAATAAAAAAATTGACTTGGATCCTACTGGGCTCTAAATGAAATACTAATTCAAAATTTAATAAAATCTATTGATTCCCTTTAAATTTTACAACTTTTGTTTCCAACATTTTTTGGCTAAAATGTTTATGAAATATTTGAGATCATCATTTAAAATGGGATATGATATAGTTTTTTTATGATATTTAAAATAGAATAAAGAAATAGGGTATTATTTTACTAAGTGTAGTCATTTTTATAATAATGATACATACTTAACAATAATTATATATTATTAAGAAATTCAGCAGATTTATTTTATAATTTTTTAGACAGCATTATAATAATAATATATAATAATACGCGTGCGTATATATATTATAGAGATCTTATAGAGTTATAAATATTATTATTATAATAATAAAAAATAATATTATATAATAATAACAGAATAATATTAATATAATTACAATAACTCATTTGCTATCTAAAAACTGAGATTTAATTTTACAATTCATACATTAAAATCGGACAAAGACCTTGTTAATATTAAAAAGAGATATTGTTCAGAAAAACTGCAGAAAGATTCTATATTTTTAAGATAAATTTTACATTATATATATAGAACATATACATATGTGTGTGTGTATAGGATATATTTTGCGCTCTCAATCAAATATGATCTTTATATAGTGGTAATAAATATTCATGACCAATCCTCCTTTATCATAGCTGCACCTTTCTCTGCTATCATAATCGTCGGTGCGTTTGTGTTGCCCGAAACTATGTGCGGCATGATCGATGCATCGATTACACGTAATTTTTTAATTCCGTGGACTCTTAATCTAGAGTCGACGACAGCATAGCTATCATTGGCTAGTCCCATCTTACAGGTACCAACTGGATGAAAAATCGTTGAAGTGAAATGACGCGCATAGCAAGTCCAATAATCATCCGACGAAATGTCAAATTGCGAACATTCCGGTAGCTTATTCGTATTAAAGCGTGAATTTAACTTTTGCATGGTAGGAGTGCGACCAATCTCTCTCACGATTTCCACGCTGGCCACCTAAAATTATTATAACTTCTTAAATTTTTATAATACACATTTTTTTATGTTATGGCATCTTTAATGTTTCTTTGATATTGAATTTATCTCTAAGCTAATAAACTATTATAAATCATAAATCTGATTCTTATATCGATAAATATATAAATAATATGTATCGTACTAAAGTTTGAAGATCACGAGGATCTTCGAAATAATTTGGAACTATTTTGGGAGCATCTCTCGAATCACTCGAATTGAGTTTGATGTAGCCTCTGCTGCGTGGTCTCAGAAGAAGCGGGAAAATTCCGTAACCTTGAACGTCTGCAATATTTTCACTCAAAGCGGTGATATCTTCGTGGTTTATACCGTATAAGCCTTCTGTGAGAAGAGTATAATCGGAACAGCTCGAAAATAATAGCTGTAGGTCCGGCCAATTATCCGCCTTGTCCGCATATCTGCACCGTACAGTAACAATGAATAATTAATTATAATTATAAAAATATGATATGCACATATTTGTTCTCTTTCAATTATATCGAATTAAATTTAATATCTATCTATAATAATTAATAATTAATAAAACAAAATTAAACGACACAAAAAATATCGCTTACTTGCTATTGACAAACGCCATTCCTCCGCTTAAAACCATCGAATAAAGAGGGGAAGAACAGTTTTTTTGCATTAATTCTATAATACTTTCCATATCTGCGACCGCAGTACAATTCGTGGTAAGGCTAGCATACTGGTCTATTTCGCTGGGAGGATCGATAATATAACTTATTCCGACCATTCCCACGTGATCTTGAAGATTCTGTCCTACACCTGGTGTATCATGCACCACAGATATGTTCATCTCTTGGAGATGCTCTTTTGGCCCGATCCCCGAAAGCATCAGTAGTTGCGGCGAATTTATTGAACCGGCGGAAAGAATTACTTCGTGTTTTGCCTTGATCTCGAAAAGTTGCTGATCTCTACGAACCAGTACTCCGGATGCTACCTTTGAACCATCTAGATCTACAAATAGATTGATTATTCCATCATATTACTTGATTAATCATAATTGTCTATAGTCGCGAAATATTTAATATATTACGAATTCAATATCTCTCTTTTCATCACAACCATATGGTTACAATAATACATATATAATGCGTTATCCGCATATTGATGACTATAAATTCGGAAATAGATAGCAAAGAAAGAGAGAGAGAGAGAGAGTGATATTATAAAATAATATAATTTTTCGAACCTTCGTTCACTAATATTTTTTCCACGAACGTATTTAAACTGACGTTTAGATTCCGCCTCTTTGAAATAGGTCGAAGGAAGGCTTTAGCAGTGCTACACCGTAATCCATTTCTTAAAGTACCATATGGTAATGAAAAACCAGTCTGATTTGCGCCATTATAATCTTGTACTTCGTATCCCATGTCTTCACCGGCTCGAAGAATGTAATCGTCTATCGGCGCATTGTATTTGTACGTCTCTACCGTCAAGTATCCGCTCGTGCCATGATAAGACGAGTGGTCCTCGTCTCTCATATCTTCGGATATTTTGAAATACGGCAAAACATTGTCGTAATCCCATCCCTCATTGCCAAGATTTGCCCAAGAATCATAGTCCTTTTTGTTACCGCGTACGTAAAGCATTCCATTTAAGACGCTGGTACCACCCAGCACCTTAAAAAATGGATTATTGTAATTGAATCTGAAATCCTCTTACATTACGTTATTATATCGTTTACTAACATAAAATTGCATATAGCTTATTAATAAGAATTGCTTTCTACTTTTGATCTATCTATCTCTTTCAGAAAATTAAGCTGAATAATTTAATATTTGTTTGAAATAAATGTACATATACATATACATATACATACATATATATATATATATATATATATATATATATATATATTATTTCAATCTAATAATTTAACTCTTTTAGAACATTAGGAAATGTTGATATATATCTTATTTTTAATATTTATATGTAGTACAAATAGATAAAGTAAAGAGTTGAAAAAATTGTTATCGTGAAATCAAGAATATAAAAAGAATAAAGATCGAGAGAAAAGTGGAAAAGTTTAACGAAATTAATACACGAGACGATGAATTTAAATATAAAAAAGTGTGCAAATTAAAAAATTTGCGCATTGCTTTTTTACTATTCGATCTATTTCACTCATTAAACTTTATCTATAAGCAAGCTGGATTTCTTTGACTTTCTCGTAGAAGAAGCTTGAGTAAAATAAAATGGTGAGGAAGCAGTATGTAGTCACATACATGTATATGTTTGTGTATATATGTACCCACTTTTATATGCTTCTTTCGTATGTTTATTTCCTAAAATTTTTAAATTTACATTTTTTAAAAGATTCAAAATTTTATAAAAATAAATCCTTTTATATCAAACCTCATCATATTTAATATCAACCATCCTTTAACGATAGTTTATTTATATTTAAAAAAGTTTATCCCAATATCTTAAACTTTGCGGAAGTTAGAGCACAACCACAAATATTTTTAAAAAAATTAAAATTGCATTATATTTTAAAATATTGTATAAATCTTTTATAAAAATGACAGTAAATGAAAGTGTTGTCCTACTTTATTTGTATGCCAAATTGGAGTGCTACAGCTCAAACAATATTTCAGATATTTAAATTTTCAGAAAAATGGGGGGGCGGGCACATATACAATACATAAACATGCACACACACATATGAATATTTTTCAAAAATATAATTTTTTTATATTTTGGAACATTCTGAACATATTATTGGTATAAAAACTAAAAAATTTTTTTTCACGAAAGTAAAACTTTCTGTGAGAAAGCAAATATATTGGTTTTCAATAGTTTGTCACATTTATACTATTGCTTAAAATACCTTTCCACGTGACCAATAGCACGTATGGCCATTCATGGACAAGCAGTAATTAGGCGATGGTACCGTTGTATAATTCCAATCGTAGGGTGTATTCATCAAAATTCCGACATTATATGGTATGTCGGATAAATACTCTTCGTTGCCTCCGGCTTCGAGCAAGAGTACAGTATAATTTTCCGACAATCGGTTGGCTAGCACAGAACCGGCAGATCCACTGCCAATTATCACAAAATCGTATTCAGATGATAAGTCTTTCGTCGACTGAACACTATCTTCCACGTCTACTATGTCCGGGCGGTAAATAACAATCATAGTCCCCAGTAACATTAGAAACATTTGCATAGGTAGAGGTGTAGTTAATAATAACTGATCAAAGCAAGCCATCTTGCTGAATTTCGATATTTGTTGTACAGTTGCTCAGTCCTAATTTTTTGCAACAATAATTATTAGTAAAAAAAATTATACGTAAAGATATGGGCCAACGTAACAAGCAAGAAATTACAATATACAATTTAGAACATGCTTAGATATTTATTAACACATAAAAATAAAATTAATAAAATAAATTAAATAAATTAAAATTATAATACAAAGCATTAAAATTCAGAAAGAAATATAAACTAAAAATTATAAAATATTATATATATATATATATATGTATGTGTCTGTATTGTATTTTTAATGACACACGCAATATTTAAAAAATTATAGTTTATTAATTTATATATATATGCACCGTCTGTCTGTCGGTCTGTACCCGAACTACTTCTGCATTTGTGGACCGATTTTCGTGAAACTGGTACCAAAATGTTGTAAATTTTTCGGGGGTGGCTGCTGTGGGTTTTTTTTTAAATTTTTTAATTTTAATTTTTTTTCTTTAGAGGAGGGTATATTTTTGCAAAAAAAATTTTTTTTGCAATATTTCTGAACACATGGTATCAAAATGTTGCAAAATTTTTGGAGATAGCGACGATGCGGTTTTTTCAAGTGTTACACCTCCACCCACACATTTACCCACACGCATGCGCATTTATGGACCAATTTTCACAAAATTGGTACAAAAATATTGCAAATTTTTCTGAGAAAGCTGCTGTGTGGTTCTTTTAAGTTTTATCCCACCCATGCATCCACCCACGCATTCAAACATTTATTCACAGACTTTTTTGAAATTTGTACTCAAATTTTGTCTGGGATGGCTACTATATGATTTTAACAAATTTTTATCACTTTATTTATCCACCCACGCACCCATCCACGTATCCACGCACCCATGTGCATACGCATTTATTGACTTGGTCACACCAAGAAGTAATTTTAAAAAATGTGTGTACGTGTTTGTGATTATGTGTGCAATTCGTATAAATAGACCTTTAATTTGTATGCCTTGACCATAGTAACACATTTAAATTAAATATTTTTATTTTATACATACATTTCCTTCAACTTTTTTAAATTAATGTGACATATAATACGGCTTAACCAAGATGTCTAAAGAGGGCAACGAAAATGCATGCAGCTCAAATCAGCATAATGTAAGTAGATTTTAATTTAGAGAGAGAGAGAGAGAGAGGGAGAGTGTGAGAGAGAGGGAGAGAGAGAGAGGGAGAGTGTGAGAGAGAGAGAGAGCGTGTGTCTCAAAGAGAGAGAGAGAGAGAGAAAGAGAGAGAGAGTGTCTCAGAGAGGGAGGGAGAGAGAGAAGAGAGAGAGAGAGAGCGAAAGAAATTTAAATACTAAAAAAGGACTTTGTAATGGTACAAGATTTATTATAACTAATTTGAAAAATAATATAATTTATGTAGAAGTTATAACAGGTCCTGCTCGAGGACAAATTGTTATGATTTCGAGGATAGATTTAATTACAAATGATTTGGAACTGCCATTTAAGTTTAAACGAAGACAGTTTCCTATTCGAGTGTCATTTGCTATGACAATAAATAAATCACAAGGACAAAGTTTAGAAAAAATTGGAATTTATTTGCCACATCCTGTATTTGCTCATGGTCAACTTTATGTGGCATTTTCTAGAGCAACAAAAGAGAAAATGTAAAAATTAAAATTGATGAATGTAGCAATCAAGGACATTTAATTGAAAAAAGTGAAAATGTTTTACAAAAAATGTAATATACAGGGAAATTTTGTAAATTGAAGAATTATGACATTGTATGAGAGCTAATAATAGCGGGTTAGCGGTGGGTACATTAGAAATAAAAAAAATTGAGTAAAATGTAAAAAAGGATATAATAATTAAGTAATAAAAAAAATATTTAAAGTATAATATATATTAACTAAAATAATGTTATATTTAAAAAATATGAAATTGTGTGGAAATTAAAATAAACAAGAAAATAAAAATAAAAATATATAATAAATATTTAAATATATGCAAAACGCGGTGTAAAATAAAATATCTGGGAGAAAGAAATAGATAACATAGTAGTCATCCAAAAAAAATTTAAACATTTATTTTGATATAAATTTCGTGAAAGTCGGACAACAAATGTGGAAGTAGTTTGCAGTAATATAAAAAAAGAATTAATTTTTTGTGTTAAAACGGATTTAATATAGGCTATATGAGGACCACGCGAAGCGCGGTCCGAATAGAAAGGCTTTGAGGACCGCGCAAAGCGAAAAGCTAGTAGTTTATATTTTTAAAGAACATTAACGAGATAATATTAGACATTAACGTAGACATAACGTATAAGCATTAACGAGGTATTAAATGCTAAATAATTAATTGTTTAATGTAAGGAGATTGATGCAAATACAGTCAACTATGATAAATCAAAATTTTTTGTAATTTTTATAAACTGTAATCATTTATTATTAAATAACTTTGTAAATATCATTATTCCTGAAATAGAAAAATATGTTTAAAGTTCATTGATAAAAATTATCGGAATTTTATCAGTTTGTAGAATATGCTACTTAAAAATATAATTATATTTAAGTAGCATATATATTCTTCAAATTGATAAAACCCCGACAAATTTTAACAATGTACTTTAAATATTTTTTATTAAAAAAAATCCAAATACAATATAAAACAAGAAAAAACTAATATTGAATGCTCTTAAATTATTAATAAAAATAAAACAATGTAGAAACATATAATGTAATCCAAATTATTAAAAAAATTTATTATTATTATTATTTATTCAATTCATGAATATTAACAAAGTTATTTATTAATACAAGATTACAGTTTATAAAAATTACAAAAATTATAAATTATCTATAATTTTTGTAATTTTAGATATAATTATTAATTTTAGATATAATCTATAATTATAGATTACAGTTTATAAAAATTACAAAAATTATAGATTTATGGTTGATTGTATTTGCATCAATTTTTTTATATTAAACAATAATTAATAATAATTTAGCATTTATTACCTTGTTTAATGTCTAGACATTATGTCTACGTTAATGTCTAATATTCTCGTTAATGTTGAACGATATAACTATAATGTTAAACAAAATAACTATAATTTAGTATTTACTATGTTGATAAAATTAATAATTGTAAAAAATATTGTTAAAAAAAATGTAAAAAAAATATATATGTATTATATATGATCTTCCATGATGTATACGCACAAGTTAGATATTATTTTTTTTATACATTGATATTAAAAGCAGCAAAGCGTTTGAGACTATTTGTATGATCTTTTTACTATAAAAAACTGTTAAAACTGTTAAAAGATTGTTAAATTGTCAAAGTTATCGGAATCATATATTTACGTTATATACTGCTTATTCCGCATATTTGTTTTTTAAAACTTACCGAGTGTAACGATATACTTCCAACTGGTATTGCAAAACTGTATTCACATACTGTCTTCACCTATGTCATCGTGATCAATGAATCAAAAGCGAGCGTACGAACGAATATAATGAAAGTGATTGTATGAGAAAAAAAATAACATAAAAAACCTGTTTTGACTTTATCATGTTATATATATATATAAAGAAACCACAACCATCCATTTTTCATAAACAAAACATAATTATGAGTAAAAAGTGGCAATCTGTGTTCTGCCTTATGTAGATGCGCATTAAAGTCAAATATTGAACACTTGCACATACAAAATATTTTATCATAATATATTATGATAAAAAATATAATTATATATAATTAAACCGCCACGTGTCACGTGTGTATGACTGTTCGTAGCATGTTTAGAAACATATATAATGTTTACAAACATATATCTATGTATGTAGAAAGAAAGATATTTAAAATAATGCACATCTATATATATTCATGCATATTTAAGCGAATAAATGTTTTAATAGCATTGTATTAAATATTATTATTAACGATATATGAACTATAGAGAGTTTATTTTGTTTAAAATATCAAAATTATTATTAGTACGTTAAGTTAAAACTTTCCGATGTTGCATTCTAAAATATATTTATAATAATTTACACGAAAAGATTATATAATATACGCGCTGCACTGTCATTATTTATAGTCAAAGGCGCTGCATATATTATTTAATCTATATATAACATATATATTATTCATATATTATTCATTAACATATATTATTCATTAACAATATACTAGCGATAAATAGAAATAATATATCAATATTCTAATAGAACTGTGAAAATAAAAGTGCGCGCAAATGTTATTTTTTTTAGATTACATATTTATATGTACATATTGTTCCCTACACTTTTATAAAATATTATTTTCATATATTTTATCATAATAATTATATATATATATATAATTACATATAATAATAATAAATTATATATAATAATAATATCTCTTTTTAATATTAACAGGATCTTATATTAAAACCGAACTAACAATAATGTTAGTTCGGTTTTTATATATGCAATGTAAAATTAAATCTCGATTTTTAGATAGCAAATGAGTTATTATAATTATATTTATTCTATTTTATTATTATTATATATATATAATTATTATATAATAATAAAATAGAATTAATATAATTATAATAACTCATTTGCTATCTAAAAATCGAGATTTAGTTTTACAATGCATATATTAAAACCGGACTAACAATAAGACCCTGTTAATATTAAAAAGAAATATTGTTTAGAAAAGCGGCAGAAAAGACTGCAGAAAGATTCTATATCTTTAAAATAAATTTTACATTATACATATGGGTCATATACGTGTGTGTGTGTGTGTGTGTGTGTGTGTAGGATATATTTTGCGTTTTTTATCAAATATCAGTATATAGTAGTAATCAAATATTCATGAGCAATCCTCTTTTATCATAGCTGCACCTTTCTCTGCTATCATAATTGTCGGCGCGTTTGTGTTACCCGAAACTATGTGCGGCATGATCGATGCATCAATTACACGTAATTTTTTAATTCCGTAGACTCTTAATCTAGAGTCGACAACAGCATAGCTATCATTGGCTAGTCCCATCTTACAAGTGCCAACCGAATGAAAATTTGTTGCTGTGGCATGACGCGCATAGCAACGCCAATAATCATCCGTCGAAATGTCATATTGCGAACATTCTGGTAACTTATTCGTATTAAGGCGCGCATTTAACTTTTGCATGGTAGGAGTGCGAACAATCTCTTTTATGATTTCCACGCTGGCCACCTAAAATTAATATAACTTCATAAATTTTTATAATTCACATATTTTATATTACGGCATCTTTAATGTCTTTGATATTGAATTTATCTCTAAGCTAATAAACTATTATAAATCACAAATCTGATTCTTATATTGACAAATATATAAATAATATGTATCGTACTAAAGTTTCAAGATCACGAGGATTTTTGAAATAATTTGGAAATATTTTGGAAGGATCTATCGGATCAGACGAATTGAGTTCGATGTAGCCTCTGCTCTCTGGTCTCACATATTGCGGGGAAACTCCGTAACCTTGAACGTCTGCAATATTTTTACTCAAAGCGTTAATATCTTCTTCCTTCATATTGTATAAGCCTCCTATGAGACATGAATAATCGGAGCAGCTCGAAAATTCTAGCTGTATGTCCGGCCAATCAGTCTTCCTATCCGCAAATCTGCACCGTACAGTAACAATGAATAATTAATTATAATTATAAAAATATGATATGCACATATTTGTTCTCTTTCAATATATATCGAATTAAATTTAATATCTATCTATAATAATTAATAATTAATAAAACGAAATTAAACGACACGAAAGATATCGCTTACTTGCTATAGACAAACGCAATTCCTCCGCTTAAAACATTCGAATAAAGAGGGGAAGAACAGTTTTTTTGCATCAATTCTATAATACTTTCCATATCTGCGACCGCAGTACAATTCGTGGTGAGGCTAGCAGACTGGTTTATTTCGTTGGAAGGATCGATAATAATACTTATTCCGGTCATTCCTACGTGATCCTGAAGATTCTGTCCTACACCTGGTGCATCATGCACCACAGGTATGTTCATCTCTTGGAGATGTTTTCTTGGCCCGATCCCCGAAAGCATCAGTAGTTGCGGCGAATTAATTGAACCGGCAGAAAGAATCACTTCGTGTTTCGCCTTGATTTTGAAAAGTTGCTGATCTCTACGAAATAGTACTCCGAATGCTACCTTTGAACCACTATCTACAAATAAATTGATTATCCCATCTTTACACGGCATTGAAACTATTACATTACTTGATTAATCATAATCGTTTATAGTCGCGAAATATTTAATATATTCCGAATTTAATATCGCTCTTTTCATCACAACCATATGGTCACAATAATATACATATAGAATGCGTTATCCGGATATTGATCACTTTATAAATTCGGAAATGGATAACAAAGAAAGAGAGAGAGAGAGAGATATTAAAAAATAATAATATAATTTTTCGAACCTTCTATCACTAATATTTTTTCCACGAACGAATTTAAGCTGACGTTTAGATTCTTCCTCTTTGAAATGGGTCGGAGGAAGGCTTTGGCAGTGCTACACCCTAATCCATCTCTTAATGTACCATATTGTAATGAAAAACCAGTCCTATTTGCGCCATTTAAATCTTGTATTTTGTATCCCATGTCTTCACCGGCTCGAAGAATGCAATCGTCTATTGGCGCATTGTATTTGAAAGTCTCTACCGGCAAGTATCCTCTCGTGCCATGATAAAACGAATTGACGAGTTCCTCGTCTCTCATATCTTCGGATATTTTAAAATACTGCAAAACATTGTCGTAATCCCATCCCTCATTGCCTAGACTTGCCCAAGAATCATAGTCCTTTTTGTTACCGCGTGTGTAAATCCATGCACCTACGACGCTGCAACCACCCAGCACCTTGAAAAATGGATTATTGTAATTGAATCTGAAATCCTCTTATATTACGTTATTATATCGCTTATAACATATAAGATTACATAGAGCTTATTAATAAAATTGCTTTCTCTTTTTGTTCTATCTATCTCTTTCAAAAAGTTAAGCTAAATAATTTAATATTTGTTAGAAATAAATGTATATATACACACACACACACACACACACACACACACACACACACACATATATATATATATATATATATATTATTTTAATCTAATAATTTTACTCTTTTAGAACATTAGGAAATATTGATATATATTTTATTTCTAATATATATATATATGCAGTTCAAATAGATAAAGTGAAAAAATTGTTACCATGAAATCAAGAAATATAAAAAGAATAAAGATCGAGAGAAAAGTGGAAAAGTTTAACAAAGTTAATATACGAGACGATGAATTTAGATATAAAAAAAGTGTGCAAACTGAAAACTTGCGCAATGCTTTTTCACTATTTGATCTAATACATTTATTAAACTTTATCTATAAGCAAGCTGGTTTTTCTTTGACTTCCTCGTAGAAGAAACTTAATGAGTGAAATAAAACGGTGAGAAAACAATGTGTAAATAATTTCTAATTTGCACACGTTTTTTACATAAAATGAATTTTGTTTGAAAGTCACATACATGTATATGTTAATGCGTATAAATGTACACTTTCATATGTTCCTTTCGTATGTTTACTTTATAAAATTTTAAAATTTACATTTTTTGAAAAATTCAAAATTTTATAAAAATAAGTTCTTTTATATCAAACCTTATCAAATTCAACCGTCCTTTAACAATAGTTTATTTATATTTAAAAAAGTTTATCCTAATATCTTAAAATTTGCGGAAGTCAGAGCAACCACAGACATTTTTAAAGAAATTAAAATTGCATTATATTTTAAAATATTATATAAATCTTTATAAAAATGACAGTAAATGAAAATATTGTCCTACTTTACTTTTATGCCAAATTAGAGTGCTATAGCTCAAACAATATTTGAGATGTTTAAGTTTTCAGAAAAATGGGTGGGCACATATATACATATACATATACACACACATATAAATATTTTTAAAAATGTGATTTTTCAATATTTTGGAATATTCTGAACATATTATTGGTATAGAAACTAAAAAATTTTTTTTCACAAAAGTAAAACTTTCTGTGAGAAAGCAAATATATTGGTTTTCAATTATTTGTCATATTTATGCGTATATGCTATTGCCTAAAATACCTTTCCTCGTGACCAAAAGCAGTTATGGCCATTCATGGACAAGCAGTAATTAGGCGATGGTACCGTTGTATAATTCCAATCGTAGGGTGTACGCATCAAACTTCCAACAGTATATGGTATGTCGGATATGTACTCTTCGTTGCCTCCGGCTTCGAGCAAGAGTACAGTATAATTTTCCGACAATCGATTGGCTAGCACACAACCAGCAGATCCACCGCCAATTATCACAAAATCATATTCAGATGATAAGTCTTTCGTCGACTGAACGCTATTTTCCACGTCTACTATGTCCGGGCGGTAAATAACAATCATAGTCCCCAGTAACATTAGAAACATTTGCATAGGTATAGGTGTAGTTAATAATAACTGATCAAAGCAAGCCATCTTGCTGAATTTCGATATTTGTTGTACAGTTGCTCAATCCTAGATTTTTGCAACAATAATTATTAGGTATATTATTTTAAACCGATACATTATATTATTTTAATCTAATGTTTGCACCAATAATTATTATATCATTTTAATCTAATGTATATATATATTCATATATACAGGGTGTCCGGTAACTAACGGATCAATGATTAAGGGCAGATTCTCTGGCCAAATTGGAAACGATTTTTCCTTAGCAAAAATGTTGAGAAGTCAATAATTTTCGAGTTATAAGCGATTGAAAAAAATGAGTCTTTTGAAAATTAAACGTTTTGGAGTTAAAAGTCTAACATAATTACATTCTTCAGTTAATTTCAGATAAAGTTTACTATAATAAAATTTTAATTTGAGGCTTAGTTATAAAGATACATAATGACAAATATTGGAAAGTTAAAGTAAAAAATGATGATCTTTTTCGACATTTTCGCTAAGAAAAAATCGTTCCCAAAGATTTGGCCAAAGAATCCATTTGTAATCGTTGGTCCGTTAGTTACCGGACACCCTGTATATGTGTATTTACTTATATGTATATGTCATAGCAAAAATACTTAATGTGTATAAATTATTCATATTTAATTAATTATTTGATATGTATATTTAATTCAATTATTACTGTAAAAAAATATCAATTGCGATTTTTTTTCAAATGTCAAGAGTATAGCAGCTAAAACTTTTCAAAGTGTTTCTTATTAGAATTGTGATTTTTAGCAACATAAGATCGGAATCATTGAAAAGAAATGACTTTAAGACGAATTTAGATGCATATCAAGATATACTGTACATAAAAAATTAATGTATGCTCTGACATTCATTTATCAAGTGATTTCTGTTTTCGTGTATGTACTCTTACACATATAAAAAACGACAAACAAACTAGCTCTATAGTAAAAATCAATATTAGCTAATTTACGAAAATCATTATAATTATCATCTATAGATGATATATTGTGCGCGTGCTAGTGTAATTATATAAACTTGAGCATGCAAATTTTATACAATGTTATTGGCTATCTTTGATTACTTATAAATCTTTGATTACTTATAAAGACTATAAGGCAACTTATAAACACTTATAAAAACTTGTGACAGTTTTATATTAAAATATTTGATTCTACTTTGTCTCCAGAATACGTCTTCAAAATGTTTATATCGTAATCTTTAAATTATATAGATATCGCATTTTTTAAATAATATTTGCATTTAAATTATTTACTTACATTAGAGAACGAGCTTACATTCGTTATGTATACAGCTTGATAAATAACTTGGACATCTTCAACAGAACGATACAGCAAAATTCATCTACACATTCTGTAGTACATATCGAAGAGTGCGTGTATATATAGTATGCAATACATTATATATACATATGTATATATATGTATATATATGTATATATATGCGTCTGTATTGTATTTTTTAATGACACATGCAGTATTTAAAAAAATTATAGTTCTTTAATAGTTTAGATCTTTAAAGAACATTAACGAGAATATTAGACATTAACGTAGACATAACGTATAAGCATTAACGAGGTAGTAAATGCTAAATTATTAATTATTTAATAGAAGGAGATTGATGCAAATATAGTCAACTATGATAAATCTATAATTTTTGTAATTTTTATAAACTGTAATCATTTATTATTAAATAACTTTGTTAATATTATTATTCGTGAAATATAAAAATTTGAAATAGAAAAATGTGTTCAAAGTACATTGATAAAAGTTATTGGAGCTTTATCAGTTTGAAGAATATGCTATTTAAAAATATAATTATTATTAAATAGCATATTTTTCAAACTGATAAAACTCCGGCAAATTTTAACAATAAACTTTGAACATATTTTTCTATTTCAAAATTCAATATAAAACAAGAAAAACTAATATTGAATGCTCTTAAATTATTAATAAAAATAAAACAACTTGGAAACATGTAATGTAATCTAAATTATAAAAATAATTTAATATCATTATTATTTATTCAATTCATGAATATTAAGCGCTTGTGTTGCTAGTGATGATAAAATTAATCGTAATAAACATTATTAAAAAAATGTAAAGAAATAGTATATTAGCTGACAAGTGCGGAGGATCGTAAATCGGCCGAGAGTGCGGAAGTTTGGCGCACGAGGCGAAGCCGAACGCGAATGTAGAACGAAAAATAATTAATATATCTTATCAATATATTTATATAAAATTTTGACAACTGTCAAACTTTTAACCCTCGCGGTGACAGCCGCTCAATGTTACAAATATAAACGCACAACACAAATCGAGACAGCCAATCAGCGGAAAAGAGGCTTCAAAACTTTAATAAAAACGAAATTTACCCAGGTAACACGCCTTTTTTCATAAAGGAGAAAATTGTCAAAATTGTTAAAAGATTGTTAAATTGTCAAAGTTATCGAAATCATGTATTTACAATTAAAAGTATCAAACGGGTAATAAGAGCCAAATTATAATTAACAAATTAACCAAAATCTTAATATTTAAATTCAAAGGGAGGGGGGAATAAAGATGTAGTTATTCTTGATAATTATTTGTTTATTTAAATCTACGTTTCGGCTCCACACTTTGAGCCATCTTCAAAACTCACTATCGACAGGAGGCGATAGCTGTCTTAACTGCCAGACATGAAGCTTGAGAATAACTTGCGAGGATGATTGGTACACGAGTGGAGAGGTTTTCTTAAAAAATTTTTATTAATTTCCTGAAGATGGCCCAAAAGGTGGAGCCAAAACGTAAATTTAAATAAACAAATAATTATCAAGAATAATTATATCTTTATTCCCCCCCCCCCACCCCTTTGAATTTAAATATTAAGATTTTGGTTAATTTGTTAATTATAATTTGGCTTTTATTAGCCGTTTGATACTTTTAATTGTATTTATTATTCAAAGCCGTGACCTTATTGTTTTCATGTATTTACGTTATATACTGCTTATTCTGCATATTTGGTTTCTAAAACTTATCGAATGTAACAATATACTTCCAACTGGTATTGCAAAACTGCAATGTATTTACATAACACACTGTCTTTACCTACGTTATCGTGATAAATGAGTCAAAAGCGAGCGTACGAACGAATAAAAATAATGATTGTATGAGAGAAAATTAACATAAAAAAACCTGTCATGACTTATATTTTGTTATATATATATAGAGAGAGAGACCACTACCATCTATTTTTTATAAACAAAACCTAATTAATAAGTAAAAAGTGGCAATCTGCGTTCTGCATCTTACGTAGATGCGCATTAAAGTCAAATATTGAACACTTGCACATATAAAATATTTTATCATAATATATTATGATAAAAAATATAATTATATATAATTAAACCGCGACGTGTCACGTGTGTATGACTGTTCGTAGCATGTTTAGAAACATATATAATGTTTAGAAACATATATCTATGTATGTAGAAAGAAAGATATTTAAAATAATGCACATCTATATATATTCATGCATATTTAAGCGAATAAATGTTTTAATAGCATTGTATTAAATATTATTATTAACGATATATGAGCTATAGAGAGTTTATTTTGTTTAAAATATCAAAATTATTATTAATACGTTAAGTTAAAAATTTTCGATGTTGCATTCTAAAATATATTTATAATAATTCACACAAAATATACAAACTATATACAAACATATATTATCATTAACAATATACTAGCAATAAATAGAAATAATATATCAATATTCTAATAGAACTGTCAAAATAAAATTGCGCGCAAATGTTATTTTTTTAGATTACATATTTATACGTACATATTGTTCCCTACACTTTTATAAAATATTATTTTTATACTTTTTGTCTTATATATGTATCTTAATATATATGTATAACTCTAAAATATTGATCAAAAAAAAATAATTAAATGCTAATTTTAATTTTAATGTCAGGTTAAAGAATATTCAGTTTGATTACTTTCAATTATTTCAATTAGTTATATGATATGAGTATATGTATATGTTCCTCTTTTTCCATATAGAACTAAAAAAAATGTTATATTGAACGTTGCATTTTAAGACCCAATATGCATGATTTGACATAAACAAACAACTAAAAATTATTTATGATATTTTACTCAATTATAATATTTACACTAAATAAATCAACTAATTAAAATAATAGATTTTCAATCAAATTATATTAATATAATTAATTATTAATTAATTTATTATATAATTAATATATTAATTAAATATTTATTAAAATGGTTTATTAATAATTAATTAATATGTTTAATATGTTTAAGCAAGCTTCAAAATATAAACAAACGTCAACGGTTATATATTCAAAAATTCGAGTTTTTTGGGTTAAATATATATTTTGTGGCAGCCTACGGTAGGAACTATGCTACAAAACTATAGAACTCATGGAAATCTATAAAATTTTATTTTCCAAATTTTAACAATGAAATTTTATAGTTTTCGACGTGCTCTATAGTTCTATAGCATAGTTCCGATCGTAGGCTGCCACTAAATATATATTTAATTATAAAAACTCGAATTTTCGAATATATGATAAGGTGGCCGCATTTCGAGCATTTTGTTTATTGTAAAATAATTCTCGTATTTAATCTTGGGCACGTACATTAATTATCCAAAGAGGTTCTGTTCATAAAAACATTTAGGATATTTTTTAGACAATTATGAAATCCTTAAAATTTATGGATAAATTAAATTATCACTTTAAATAAGTGTAACTAATTAAATATAAAAAAACGGGCTTCAAAATTTCGAAATATTTTATTATTAAACTGAGGACCACTTTAGATGACGTATTCCCATATTTTGAAGCCAGCCTTTTCATTTTTAATTAATTTCAGTCATTTAAAGCGATAATTATTTTTTCTAAATATTAGGATATATACTTAACAATAATTATATCATTAATAAAGTTCAGAAAATTTATTTTATAACATTTTAGATAGCACAATTATAATTATAATATATATAATAATACATATGCGTATATATTATAGAGATATTATAGAGTTATCATTATTATTGCACACATATGTATATGACCCATATATATAATGTAAAATTTATTTTAAAGATATAGAATTCTTCTGCAGTCTTTTCTGCCGCTTTTCTGAACAATATCTCTTTTTAATATTAACAGGGTCTTATTGTTAGTCCGGTTTTAATATATGCATTGTAAAACTAAATCTCGATTTTTAGATAGCAAATGAGTTATTATAATTATATTAATTCTATTTTATTATTATATAATAATTATATATAATAATAATAAACTAGAATTAATATAATTATAATAACTCATTTGCTATCTAAAAATCGAGATTTAATTTTACATTGCATATATAAAAACCGAACTAACATTATTGTTAGTTCGGTTTTAATATAAGATCCTGTTAATATTAAAAAAAGATATTGTTCAGAAAAGCGGCAGAAAAGACTGCAGAAAGATTCTATATTTTTAAAATATATTTTACATTATATATATGAGTCATATACATGTGTGTGTGTGTGTGTGTGTGTGTGTGTAGGAAATATTTTGCGTTTTTTCTTAAATATCAGTATATAGTAGTAATCAAATATTCATGAGCAATCTTCTTTTATCATAGCTGCACCTTTCTCTGCTATCATAATTGTCGGCGCGTTTGTGTTACCCGAAACTATGTGCGGCATGATCGATGCATCAATTACACGTAATCTGTTAATTCCGTGGACTCTTAATCTAGAGTCGACGACAGCATAGCTATCATTGGCTAGTCCCATCTTACAGGTACCAACTGGATGAAAAATCGTTGATGTAAAATGACGCGCATAGCAAGTCCAATAATCATCCGACGAAATGTCATATTGCGAACATTCTGGTAGCTTATTCGTATTAATGCGCGAATTTAATTTTTGCATGGTAGGAGTGCGACTTATCTCTTTCATGATTTCCACGCTGGCCACCTAAATTAGATAACTTCTTAAATTGTTATAATACACATATTTTATATTACAGCATCTTTAATGTCTCTTTGATATTGAATTTATCTGTAAGCTAATAAACTATTATAAATCACAAATCTGATTTTTATATTGATAAATATATAAATGATATGTATCGTACTAAAGTTTGAAGATCATGAGGATCTTCGAAATAATTTGGAACTATTTTGGGAGCATCTCTCGAATCACGCGAATTGAGTTTGATGTAGCCTCTGCTGCGTGGTCTCAGAAGAAGCGGGAAAATTCCATAACCTTGAACGTCTGCAATATTTTCATTCAAAGCGGTAATATCTTCGTAGTTTATACCGTATAAGCCTCCTGTGAGAAGTGAATAATCGGAACAGCTCGAAAAAATAGCTGTAGATCCGGCCAATTATCCGCCTTGTCCGCATATCTGCACCGTACAGTAATGATGAATAATTAATTATAATTATAAAAATATTACATGCACATATTGTTCTCTTTCAATTATATCAAATTAGATTTTATATCACTATAATAATTAATAATTAATAAAACAGACACGAAAGATATCACTTACTTGCTATAGACAAACGCCACTCCTCCGCTTAAAACCATCGAATAAAGTGGGGAAGAACAGTTTTTTTGCATCAATTCTATAATACTTTCCATATCTGCGATCGCAAGACAATTCGTGGTGAGACTGGCAGACTGGTCAATTTCGCTGGGAGGATCGATAATATAACTTATTCCGGCCATTCCCACGTGATCTTGAAGATTCTGTCCTACACCTGGTGCATCATGCACCACAGGTATGTTCATCTCTTGGAGATGCTCTTTTGGCCCGATCCCCGAAAGCATCAGTAGTTGCGGCGAATTTATTGAACCGGCGGAAAGAATTACTTCGTGTTTTGCCTTGATCTCGAAAAGTTGCTGATCTCTACGAACCAGTACTCCAGATGCTACCTTTGAACCATCTAGATCTACAAATAGATTGATTATTCCATCATATTACTTGATTAATTATAATTGTCTATAGTCGCGAAATATTGAATATATTACGAATTCAATATCTCTTTTTCATCACAACCATATGGTTACAATAATACATACATAATGCGTTATCCGGATATTGATGACTTTATAAATTCGGAAATAGGTAGCAAAGAAAGAGAGAGAGAGAGAGAGAGAGAGAGAGAGTGATATTATAAAATAATAATATAATTTTTCGAACCTTCGTTCACTAATATTTTTTCCACGAACGAATTTAAGCTGACGTTTAGATTCTGCCTCTTTGAAATGGGTCGAAGAAAGGCTTTGGCAGTGCTGCACCGTAATCCATCTCTTAAAGTACCATATGTTAATGAAAAACTAGTCTGATTTGCGCCGTTATAGTCTTGTACTTCGTATCCCATGTCTTCACCGGCTCGAAGAATGTAATCGTCTATTGGCGCATTGTATTTGAAAGTCTCTACCGTCAAGTATCCGTTCGTGCCATGATAAGACGAATGGACGAGTTCCTCGTTTCTCATATCTTCGGACATTTTAAAATACGGCAGAACATTGTCGTAATCCCATCCCTCATTGCCAAGATTTTCCCAAGAATCATAGTCCTTTTTGTTACCGCGTACGTAAAGCATTGCATTTACGACGCTGCAACCACCCAGCACCTTGAAAAATGGATTATTGTAATTGAATCTGAAATTTTCTTATATTACTTTATTATATCGCTTACTAACATAAGATTATATAGAGCTTGTTAATAAGAATTGCTTTCTACTTTTGTTCTAGCTATCTCTTTCGGAAAGTTAAGCTGAATAATTTAATATTTGTTGAAAATAAATGTATAAATATACATATATATATATATATATATATATATATATATATATGTATATATATATATATATATTTATATATATATGAAAAAGTTGAAAAATTGTTACCATGAAATCAAGTAATATAAAAAGAATAAAGATCGAGAGAAAAGTGGAAAAGTTTAACAAAGTTAATATACGAGACAATGAATTTAGATATAAAAAAATGTGCAAATTAAAACTTGCGCATTGTTTTTTTACTAATCGATCTATTTCACTCATTAAACTTTCTCAATGAGCCAGCTGGTTTTTCTTTGACTTCCTCGTAAAAGAAGTAAAATAAAATGAGTAAAATAAAATGGTGAGGACGCAATGTGTAAATTTCCAGTTTGCACACGTTTTTTACATAAAATACATATTTTTAAATGTCACATACATGTATATGTTTGTGTGTATATATGTACCCACTTTCATATATTCCTTTCGTATGTTTATTTCGTCCAGTTTTAAAATTTACATTTTTTGAGAGATTCAAAATTTTATAAAAATAAATCCTTTTATATATCAAACCTCATCAAATTTAATATCAACCATCCTTTAACGATAGTTTATTTATATTTAAAAAAGTTTATCCCAATATCTTAAAATTTGCGGAAGTTAGAGCAACCATAGATATTTTTTAAAAAATTAAAATTGCATTAAATTTTGAAATATTGTATAAATCTTTTATAAAAATGAAAGTAAATGAAAGTGTTGTCCTACTTTATTTGTATGCCAATTTCGAGTGCTACAGCTCAAATAATATTTCAGATATTTATATTTTTAGAAAAATGGGGGGGCACATATATACATATACATACACACACACATATGAATATTTTTTAAAATTGTGATTTTTCAATATTTTGGAACATTTTGAACATATTATTGGTATAAAAACTAAAAAAAATTTTTTCACGAAAGTAAAACTTTCTGTGAGAAAGCAAATTTATTTTCAATAGTTTGTCACATTTATACTATTGCTTAAAATACCTTTCCACGTGACCAATTGCACTTATGGCCATTCATGGACAAGCAGTAATTAGGCGATGGTGCCGTTGTATAATTCCAATCGTAAGGTGTATTCATCAAACTTCCGACAGTATATGGTATGTCAGATACGTACTCCTCGTTGCCTCCGGCTTCGAGCAAGAGTACAGTATAATTTTCCGACAATCGGTTGGCTAGCACAGAACCGGCAGATCCACTGCCAATTATCACAAAATCGTATTCAGATGATAAGTCTTTCGTCGACTGAACACTATCTTCCACGTCTACTATGTCCGGGCGGTAAATAAAAATCATAGTCCCCAGTAACATTAGAAACATTTGCATAGGTAGAGGTGTAGTTAATAATAACTGATCAAAGCAAGCCATCTTGCTGAATTTCGATATTTGTTGTACAGTTGCTCAGTCCTAGATTTTTGTAACAATAATTATTAGGTATATTATTTTAAACCGATACATTATATTATTTTAATTTAATCTTTGCAAATTGCACCAATAATTATTATATCATTTTAATCTAATGTATAAATATTTTTATCTATATATGAATATTTACTTCTATGTATATGTCATCGCGAAAATGCTTAATTGATATAAATTATTCATATTTAACTAATTATTCGATATGTATATTTAATTCATATATTACTGTAAAAAAATATCAATTATGATTTTTTTTTAAATGTCAAGAGTAGGAGCTAAAACTTTTCCAAGTGTTTCTTATTAGAATTGCGATTTTTAACAACATAAGATCGGAATTATTGAGAAAAAATGACCTTAAGATAAATTTAAATGCATATCAATATATATATGTATGTACATAAGAAATTATTGTTTGCTCTGACATTCATTTATCAAGTGATTCCTGTTCTCGTATATACATAGTACTTTTACACATATAAAGAACGACAAACAAGCTAGCTCTGCAGTAAAAATCATCATTATCAAGTATCATTATTAGCTGATTTATGAAAATCATTTTAATAATTTATCATCTAGAAATGATATATTGTGTGCGTGCAATTATATAAACATAAGCATGCAAATTATATACAATGTTATTGCCTATCTTTGTGATTACTTATAAATCTTTGATTATTTATAAAGACTATAAATCAACTTATAAACACTTATAAAAACTTGTGACAGTTTTATATTAAAATATTCGATTCTACTTTGTCTCCAGAATACGTCTTTAAAATATTTATATCGTTATCTTTAAATTATATAGATATCGCATCTTTTTAATAATATTTGCATTTAAATTATTTACTTACAGATTAGAGAACGAGCTTATATTCGTTATGTATGCAGCTTGACAAACAACTTGGATACCTTCAACAGAACAATACAGCAAAATTTTTTTATCTATGCATTCTGTAGTACATATCGAAGAGTGCGTGTATATAGTATGCAATACATTTGATATACATATGTATATATATGTATGTGTCTGTATTGTATTTTTTAATGACACGTGCAGTATTTAAAGAAATTATGGTTCTTTAATAGTCTCTATCTTTAAAGAATATTAACGAAAATATTAGACATAACGTGTAAGCATTAACGAGGTAGTAAATGCTAAATTATTAATTGTTTAATATAAGGAGATTGATGCAAATACAGTCAACTATGATAAATCTATAATTTTTGTAATTTTTATAAACTGTAATCATTTATTATTAAATAACTTTGTAAATATTATTCCTGAAATAGAAAAATATGTTTAAAGTACATTGATAAAAGTTATCGAAATTTTATCAGTTTGTAGAATATGCTACTTAAAAATATAATTATATTCGTTATATATGCAGCTTGACAAACAACTTGGACATCTTCAACAGAACGATACAGCAAAATTTTTTTATCTATGCATTCTGTAGTACATATCGAAGAGTGCGTGTATATAATATGCAATACATTTGATATACATATGTATATATATGTATGTGTCTGTATTGTATTTTTTAATGACACGTGCAATATTTAAAGAAATTATGGTTCTTTTATAGTCTCTATCTTTAAAGAATATTAACGAAAATATTAGACATTAACGACATAACGTATAAGCATTAACGAGGTAGTAAATGCTAAATTATTAATTGTTTAATATAAGGAGATTGATGCAAATACAGTCAACTATGATAAATCTATAATTTTTGTAATTTTTATAATTTAAGTAGCATATATTCTTCAAACTGATAAAACCCCGACAAATTTTAACAATGTACTTTGAACATATTTTTCTATTTCAAAATTCAAATACAATATAAAACAAGAAAAAAACTAATATTGAATGCTTTTAAATTATTAATAAAAATAAAACAACGTAGAAACATGTAATGTAATCCAAATTATAAAAAAAATTTAATATTATTATTATTCATTCAATTCATGAATATTAAGCGCTTGTGTTGCTAGTGATAAAATTAATCGTAATAATCGTAATAAAAAAATTATTTACTTTATTATGTGTTCGATCATGAATATTAACATTAACGATCATGAATATTAACAAAGTTACTTATTAATACAAGATTACAGTTTATAAAAAATACAAAAATTATAGAATTATTATGGTTGACTGTATTTGCATCTATTTCTTTATATTAAACAATAATTAATAATAATTTAGCATTTACTACTTTGTTTAATATCTTTTTCTACGTTATTTCTACATTATTTCTACGTTAATGTCTAATATTCTCGTTACTGTTTAACGATAAATAATTATAATTTAGTATTTACTATGATGATAAAATTAAACGTAAAAAACAATGTTAAAAAATATGTAAAGAAAAATATATGTAATATATATGACCTTCCATGATGTATACGCACAAGTTAGATATTATTTTTTTATATTAATTTAAAAAGCAGCAATGCGTTTGAGTCAATTTGTTTGATTTTTTACTATAAAAAACTGTTAAAACTGTTAAAAGATTATTAAATTGTCAAAGTTATCGAAATCATGTATTTACGTTATATACTGCTTATTCCGCATAATTGTTTTTTAAAACTTACCGAGTGTAACGATATACTTCCAACTGGTATTGCAAAACTGTATTCACATACTGTCTTCACCAATGTCATCGTGATCAATGAGTCAAACGCAAGCGTACGAACGAATATAATGAGAGTGATTGTATGAGAAAAAATTAACATAAAAAACCTGTCTTGACTTTATCATGTTATATATAGAGAGAATGTTATATATAGAGAGAAACCACTACCTACCGTTTTCATAAACAAAACATAATTAATAAGTATAGAGTGGCAATTTGCGTTCTGCGTCTTACGTAGATACGCTTTAAAGTCAAATATTGAACACTTGCACATACAAAATATATTATCATAATATATTATATAATAAGAAATATAATTGTATATAATTGAATCTCCACGTACCACGTGTATGACTGTTCGCAGCATATTTAGAAACATGTACAGGGTGTTACAAAAGTATCGGAACAGCAGAAAAACTCGAAGAATATGAGTTCTATGAAAAAATGCTAAGTACTGAGTTTTTATGATTTTTTCCTGGCTATCTGACGGTACCTTAGCCAGAAAAAAATCATAAAAACCCAGTACTTAATATTTTCTCTAGGTCTCATATTTTTCGAGTTATTCTGTTGTTCCGGTACTTTTTAACACTTTGTATATGTATGTAAAAAGAAAGACATTTAAGATAACGCACATCCATATATATTCATGCATATCTAAGCGGATAAATGTTTTAATGGCATTGTATTAAATATTATTATTAACGATATATGAGCTATAGAGAGTTTATTTTGTTTAAAATATCAAAATTATTATTGATAGTCAAAGGCGCTGCATATATTATTTAATCTATATACAAACATATATTATTCATTAACAATATACTAGCAATAAATAGAAATAATATATCAATAATCTAATAGAACTATCAAAATAAAATTGCGCGCAAATGTTGTTTTTTTTTAGATTATATATTTACGTACATATATTGTTTCCTATAATTTTCTAAAATATTATTTCATTTTTGTACGCGTTTAATAAGTGTTTTTTTTTATCAAAATTCAAATTTTAACTTAATTAGAACAACACAAGCGCGCGCTACGCGCTCGCCATTCTTCACTTTTATATTAAAAAGATTGATATTAAAAAATTAATAAAATTGATCTCCATTATTTTTTTGACATAAATTAGCTAATAGCTGTTAAAAAATATAAATCTTTAAATAATATATTATTAATACAAATTAAATAATAATACTAAAGTAAGGCTCTTTAATTGATAAATAATAACTTTAAAATTAGATAATTAAATAATTCATAAATTAAATAATTATTAAAACGCTTTATTAAAAATTATTAATATATATATGTTTAATATGTTTAAGCAGGCTTCAAAATATGAACAAACATCAACACTTACATATATATTCGAAAATTCGAGTTTTTTGGGTTAAATATATATTTAGTGGCAGCCTATGGTCGGAAATATGCTACAGAACTATAGAACTCATCGAAACCTATTATAAAATTTCATTTTCCAAATTTTAACAATGAAATTTTATAGTTTCCGACGTGCCCCATAATTCTATAGCATAGTTCCGATCGTAGGCTGCCACTAAATATATATATGATCATAAAAACTCGAATTTTCGAATATATGATAAGGTGGCCGTATTTCGAGCATTTTGTTTATTGTAAAATAATTCTCGTACAGTCCTGGGCACGTACATTAATTATCCAAAAAGGTTCTGTCCATAAAAATATTTAGGACATTTTTCAAACAATTATGTAATCTTTAAAATTCATGGATAAATTAAATTATCACTTTAAATGACTGTAACTAATTAAATATAAAAAAGCGGGCTTCAAAAATTCGAAATTTTTTATTATCAAACTGAAGACCACTTCATAGACGTATTCTTATATTTTGAAGCCAGCACTTTCATTTTTTCATTAATTACAGTCATTTAAAGCGACAATTAATTTTTTTCAAATTTTAAGACCCAGTATACGAATTTTATGTTAGGTATTGACACTATGTTAGGTACTAACGCGTCATTTTTCATTATTTCTTATTATCAAACTAAAGACCATTTAAAAGACGTATTCCCACATTTTGAAGCTTACTCTTTTATTTTTTAATTAGTTTCTGTCATTTAAAGGGATAATTATTTTTTCCAAATTTTAAAACCCAGTGTACGAATCATTATGTTTGGTACTGACGCGTCATTTTTCAATATTTTTTATCATCAAACTGTGGACCATTTAAAGGACGAATTCCCACATTTTAAAGTTTGCTGTTTCATTTTTTAATTGAGATTTAGTTTTACAATGCATACATTAAAACCGGATTTTAGGACTCTGTTAATATTAAAAAGAGATATATTGTTCAGAAAAGCGGCTGAAAAGACTGCAGAAGGATTCTATATTTTTAAAATAAATTTTACATTATATATATGGGTCATATACATATGTTTGTGTGTGTGTATATATATTTTGCGTTCTTCATCAAATATCTTTACATAGTGGTGATCAAATGTTCATGACCAATCCTCTTTTATCATAGCTGCACCTTTCTCTGCTATCATAATTGTCGGCGCGTTTGTGTTGCCCGAAACTATGTGCGGCATGATCGATGCATCGATTACACGTAATCTGTTAATTCCGTGGACTCTTAATCTAGAGTCGACGACAGCATAGCTATCATTGGCTAGTCCCATCTTACAGGTTCCAACTGGATGAAAAATCGTTGATGTGAAATGACGCGCATAGCAAGTCCAATAATCATCCGACGAAATGTCATATTGCGAACATTTTGGTAGCTTATTCGTATTAATGCGCGAATTTAATTTTTGCATGGTAGGAGTGCGACTAATCTCTTTCATGATTTCCACGCTGGCCACCTAAAATTAATATAACTTCTTAAATTGTTATAATACACATATTTTATATTACAGCATCTTTAATGTCTCTTTGATATTGAATTTATCTCTAAGCTAATAAACTATTATAAATCACAAATCTGATTCTTATATTGATAAATATATAAATAATATATATCGTACTAAAGTTCGAAGATCATGAGGATCTTCGAAATAATTTGGAACTATTTTGGGAGGATCTCTCGGATCACACGAATTGAGTTTGATATAGCCTCTGCTGCGTGGTCTCAGAATAAGCGGGAATATTCCGTAAGTTTGAACGTTTGTAATATTGTCTATCAAAGCGATGATATCTTCTAAGTTAATCCTGTATAAGACGGCTGTGAGAAGTGTATAATCGGAATCGCTGGAAAATATTAGCTGTACGTCCGGATAATTCTTGTCCGCATATCTGCATCATTCAAGTAACAATGAATAATTAATTATAATTATAAAAATATGATATGCACATATTGTTCTCTTTCAATTATATCGAATTCAATTTTATATTACTATAGTAATTAATAATTAATAAAACAAAATTAAACGGTACGAAAGATATATGTATCGCTTACTTGCTATTGACAAACGCAATTCCTCCGCTTAAAACAGTCGAATATAGTGGGCCAGAAGAGTTTTGTTTAATCATATGTAGAATATTTTCCAAATTTGCGGCCGCAGTATACTTCGAGGTGCTGCTAACATACTGGTCCATTTCATTGGGAGGATTGATAATATAACTTATTCCGCCCATTCCTACGTGATCATGAAGATTCTGTCCTACACCTGGTGCATCATGCACCACAGATATGTTCATCTTTTTGAGATCCTTTTTTGGCCCGATCCCCGAATGCATCAGTATTTGTGGCGAATTTATTGAACCGGCGGAAAGAATCACTTCACGTTTCGCCTTGATCTCGAAAAGTTGCTGATCTCTACGAACCAGTACTCCGGATGCTATCTTTAAACCACGATCTACAAATAAATTGATTATTCCATCTTTACATATACGACATTGAAACTATCACATTACTTGATTAATCATAATCGTCTATAGTCGCGAAATATTTAATATATTCCGACATCATTATCTCTCTTTTCATCACAACTAGATGGTCACAATAATACATATATAATGCATTATCCGGATATTGATGACTTAATATATTTAAAGGTAGATAGCAGATATATATATATATATATATATATATATAAAAGAGAAAAATTAAAAAAGTAATAATATAATTTTTCCAAACCTTTTGTCACTAATATTTTTTCCACGAACGAATTTAAGCTGACGTTTAGATTCTTTCTCTTTGAAATGGGTCGGAGAAAAGCTTTGGCGGTGCTACACCGTAATCCATCTCTTAAAGTACCATATGCTAATGAAAAACCAGTCTGATTTTCTCCGTTTAAATCTTGTACTTTATATCCCATGTCTTCACCGGCTCGAAGAATATAATCGTCTATTGGCGCATTGTATTTGAAAGTCTCTACCGTCAAGTATCCGTTCGTGCCATGATAAGACGAATTGACGAGTTCCTCGTCTCTCATATCTTCGGATATTTTAAAATACGGCAAAACATTGTCGTAATCCCATCCCTCATTGCCAAGATTTGCCCAAGAATCATAGTCCTTTTTGTTACCGCGTACGTAAAGCATTGCATTTACGACACTGCAACCACCCAGCACCTTGAAAAATGCAGCATTGTAATGGAATTTGAAATCCTCTTACATTACGTTATTATATCGTTTACCAACATAAAATTTCATAGAGCTTATTAATAAGAATTGCTTTCTACTTTTGATCTATCTATCTCTTATATTACTTTATTATATCACTTATATATATATATATATATATATATATATATATATACAATATATATATATATACATATATATATTAACATAAGATTACAGTTTATTAATAAGAATTGCTTTCTATCTTTGTTCGATCTCTTTCAAAAAGTTGGGCTGAATAATTTAATACCCATTAGAAATAAATGTATATATATATACATATATATATCTATTATTTTAATTTAATAATTTAACTTTTTTCTATCTATCTTATTTCTAATATTTATATGCAGTACAAATAGAGTAAAGAGTTGAAAAAATGGTTATCGTAAAATCAAGAAGTATAAAAAGAATAAAGGTCGAGAGAAAAGTGGGAAAGTTTAACAAAATTAATATATAAGACGATGAATTGAGATATAAAAAAGTGTGCAAATTGAAAACTTGCTTTCTCACTATTCGATCTATTTCACTCATTAAGCTTTCTCTATGAGCAAGCTAATTTTCTTTGGCTGCCTCGTAGACAAAGATTAAAGAGTGAAATAAAATGGTGTGAAAGCAATGTGTAAATTTTCAATTTGCACACGTTTTTTACATAAAATACATATTTTTAAATGTCATATATATGTATATGTTTGTGTGTATATATGTACCTACTTTCATATATTCTTTTCGTATGTTTATTTCGTAAAATTTTAAAATTTACATTTTTTGAAAAACTCAAAATTTTATAAAAATAAATTCTTTCATATCAAACCTCATCAAATTCAATATCAACCGTCCTTTAACAATGGTCTATTTATATTTAAGAAAGTTTATCCCAATATCTTAAAATATACAGAAGTTAGAGCAATCATAGTCATTTTAAAAAAAATTAAAATTGCATTAAAATTTTAAATTACTGTATAAATCCTTATAAAAGTGATAGTAAATAAAAGTATTGTCCTGTTTTACTTATATGCTAAATTGGAGCGCTACAGCTCAAATAATTCTTGAGGTGTTTAAATTTTCAAAAAAGTGGGTAGACACATATACATACATACACACACACATACAAATATTTTTTTTTAAATGTGATTTTTCAATATTTGGAACATTCTGAACATATTGTTGGCATAGAATTTTAAAAAAAATTTTATGAGGAAGCAAATATACTGGTTTTCAATGATTTGTCACATATATGCGTATATGCTATTGCCTTCTTGTAGAAATTTATCACTAGTAACGCCAATTAATCACTTATTTCGAATACTTAAAATACTGGTATACAGTAATTTAAGTAATTGAAATAAGTGATTAAGTACTCGAAATAAGTGATAAATTGGCGTTACTAATGATAAATTTCTTTAAGGGCCTAAGATACCTTTCCACGTGACCAATTGCACTTTTGGTCACTCATAGACAAGCAGTATTTAGACGATGGTGCCGTTGTATAATTCCAATCGTAGGGTGTATTCATCAAACTTCCGACAGTACATGGTACATCGGACAAGAAATCCTCGTTGGCTCCGGCTTCAAGCAAGAGTACAGTATAATTTTCCGACAATCGGTTGGCCAGCACAGAACCGGCAGATCCACCGCCAATTATCACAAAATCGTATTCAGATGATAAGTCTTTCGTGGACTGAACGCTATTTTCCACATCTACTACGTCCGGGCGGTAAATAAAAATCATAGTCCCCAGTAACATTAGAAACATTTGCATAGGTAGAGGTGCAGTTAATAATAACTGATCAAACCAAGCCATCTTGCTGAATTTCGATATTTGTTGTACAGTTGCTCAGTCCTAGATTTTTGCAACAATAATTATTAGATATATTATTTTAATCCGATACATTATATTTTATTTTAATCTAATGTTTGCAACAATAATTATTATATCATTTTAATCTAATGTATAAATATTTTCATCTATATATGTGTATTTACTTATATGTATATGTCATAGCGAAAATGCTTAAAATATGTATAAATTATTTATATTTAATTAATTATATGATATGTATATTTTATTCATTATTACTTTAAAAAAATATTAATTGTGATTTTTTCTCTCATGTTAAGAGCAGCAGCTAAAACTTTTCAAAGTGTTACTTATTAGAATTGTGATTTTTAACAACATAAGATTGGAATCATTGATAAGAAATTACATAAGCCGAACTTAGATGCATATCAAGATATATGTACATTAGAATTTAATGTATGCACTGATATACGCCATTTATTTATAAAATGATTTCTGTTCTCGTGTACATAGTACTCTTACACATATAAAGAACGACAAACAAGCTAGCTCTGCAGTGAAAATCAATATTAGCTGTTTTATGAAAATCATTAGATGATATAAATTTTCAAAAGAATTTGTTTATAAAATTACCTATTTACTGTAATGTCAATATATTGCTTACGAGAAATAAATTTTATGTACATACTTATAATAAAGCGCTGTGCATAATTAACACTGCGAGTTAATTATAAATATTTGTACCAATTAGAGATTCATAAGCTGCAGTTTGACCATTCTTATGACTTATGACAATAATAGCTTTTCGTTGTTTTTCGTTACATTGATATAATAATGTGCAATGATATAATAATGTGCTTATTAGAAAATTAATATAAACTCGATATAAATATAATAAAATAATTGTATCAGTTAAAAGAATAATAAAAAAATTGTTTAAAATATAAGGAAACTGTTTTATAAATATATTTATTACATGCAGAATTAATGTAATGCAACGTGAAAATTGTAGAATTAAACCTTATAATTTTTACAGATGTTTTATTACAATTTGAAATAAATATCGATATAATTACATTATATCTACAATCTTAAATCACAATCAAAATTAAAATGTTCTTTCTATCTTTATAATATATATGTATATGCGTATACGCGCGTGCATATATATATATATATATATATATATATATATATATATATATATATATACATACACATATATGTACATATCAAATTAAATTGAAATAAACTTAATAAACTGATATATATATATATATATATATATAGGCAAAATTTAACTTTTATATATCAAATTCGGTTTCTGTTTCAAAAAGTACATACGACATGCAACTTTTTAAAAAGCTATTTTTGCAATTTATTTTATTTCTTTGTTCACATCATCCTTTTAATTTACATACATATATATATAAGCTTTCTCTTTTTATAATAATCTTTCACCAATTATACAGAATAATCACAGATCACACTCTAAAGAAAATAATTTATGTATATAATATATATTCTATATAATATTAATCATGCAAAAAATATATCCTTGCGTGAAATTCTACGAGAATGTTAATTACATATATTGTACATACCTTTCCTCTTATTTTTCTTACAGAAGATATAATTTATATATCAGTATTGTAATCACTACGACATATTACTTTTGCACTGTTTCATCGTTTCTCTAGTGGAAGAAAATAATTTAGATTTTGGTATATATACCGAGCGCACTACATTGTATACTCATTCTCCAAAACTGCTAAAACCTTTCAGGCTACAGATAACGAAATCAGATAAGATATACGGATGCTTTTTGATATGAGAGAAAAATTGCAAAACAATCATTGATCTATTTTCACGAAGATAATTTTCATCATATATACGTACAATGTATATATATGTATAATACGTATGTCGCCTAGAAAGGTACGTGAAGGAACGTTATTTTATTTATTTAAAAATAAATAAATCTTTGATTGTATATGTGCTTTCTCCTCTTTATACAATTAATTCTATAATTTAATCTCGATAGAATTAGCGCTTGGACCCGCGATAATGACGCCATTATTGACAGTAATATCGGTTTTCAATCGTTGATGATTCTCATGCTTCTTCATCGTGTAATTATTAGGCTTCTTGCCAGTCAACATCATTAGATCCGAATGTATTCTGAAGTGTAATCTAGATTCTAATAAGTAGCCCGTGTAATTTTTCCTAGAAAAATTTAAATGATTAATTTAATTAACTTCTTATAAAAAGCCAGGGCTCGATTTGGGCTGCAGCGCCATAGAAGACTTTAATATAAAATAATATCATAAAATCACATAATAAAAAATTGAGACTTACTTAGCGTCTTCTAAAAAACCTATAGCCAGCTGAGTATCGCCCTGATCTTGAGCCAATAAAGCTAATTCTACGGTAGCATAGGGAAATAAGTACGTCTCCTCCTTGACGGATTTCTCCAATTGTAAAACGCGTCGCAAACACTCTTCCGCTTGTAAAGGATGTTGCATTTGTCGCAAACAGGCGCCTTTCAACAGCAATAGAAGTGCTTCGTTGTCGGCGTGAAACTCATTTTTCCTGCACATACACGATGTGTTATATGTATTAAAAAAAATATATATATATAATTAGCACATTTTCTCATTATTTTTATATTTTTATTTATCATAAAATGATCGGATTCATTTAAAATAATTGCTATTTTTGTCTATAATTTTTTCCCATTTCAAGCCACTTATATATTAATACGTATATATATATATATATATATATATATATATATATTAACGTTCAACTCACGAAGTTGTTTTCAGTTCCTTCTCCGTCTCCTCTATCCTTTTGAATATATTCAACATCAAATCTTGCCGCTTGCCTATTATCCTAAACAGATTCCATATGTACATAAGCTCGAATACGGGCAAAATTAGATCCTTTTTTTGCGCGAAATAACGTTCCGTCTTCTTGATTATAAATTTTTCCATCGGCAGCGACTTGCCCGCAATACGCTGCTTGTAGGTCGGCGCCTGCATCATCAGGCTGTCTATCAGCTGTTTCTCTTCGCTTCCGGATGAAGGTTTCAGCATAAGCAAAATCGCAGCTTTCTGGTACAAGTAGATAGTGCGCGACCAATTGGACTCATTCGCCAACATCGTGGCATACCTGACCGCCTTATTCCACTGTTGCATCGAACAGTGTGCCCACATCAATTCCCAATAACAAATATGATGAAACTGCGGCCATACATTCTGACTTTTCCACGATTTTATATACCAGTCTATGCAATTTTCAAAATTGCCCCGCGTGAGCTCTAATCTTCCCTTAAAAAACAGAAACCAAACGCCATTTGGATAAATGTTCAGCTCCTGCTGCACTACTTCCTCGCACCATTCTAGGTCGCCGTCCGCGTGGCTCAGTACGAAAGTGACGAATAGATTGTAAGACAGCAAGGTCATAACGCATAAGACTTGTCGTAGACCTCTCCTTTCATTATAACCAGCTTTCAATTCCGCTAAACCGTATGCCTATAAATAACCAATCGAGTTGATAAATCAAATGTTACGCACGAACTATCATATCATTATCATTTTCAAACATTTCTAATCACACCTTATCGCCGGAGAATCCAATAAACTCTAATAATTTAATAATTCGCGCTGGTAATAACGAGATCATCTGGAACAAGATAGAATTTAAAAATGTGATATTTATGCGATAATACTTATTTAAAATATTAAAGATAAAATTATATTACATACATACCAAGTTGAATGTACCGATACCCATACGAACACCGCTTTCGAAATGCACTTTATGACTATCGTTTCTCCATTTGCGATTGTTCAAGATCGTCATGCATTCTCTGCAGACAAAAAAAGGATAATCATGAAAAATGTTGAAGAGAGGTCCGATTGAATATCGCGACGCGATGTTATTTACTTATATGACAGAAAACAGGTACGAATTTTCAATCCCGCCTTGACAAAGCTGACCAGAGTTTCGTCTTCCACAAACGTAAGCATCGATTTTAAGAGGAGCGACTCGGCATAACAGAGTTCCGCATGCACTTCCTCTGTAAGATTAATTCTCGGTCATTCCTTTCATGCACTACTACGCCTTAAAATTATAATCCACATAATTACATTCAAGTTAATTTACGAAATTGTTTGATATTAATTCGTCATTAAATTCTAGTTTTAATTAAAAATTTTTGATTAATTTTTCTATACACGATTATTTGTAATGTAATAACACTGTTATAACAAACTAATAATAAACCCAGGTAACAAGCGTACGTCATTTTGACATTATTAAAGTGACGTTATTTTGACGTCTAATGACATCGATCAATTTGCTATATCTGGGAAATTATCTCAGTATTTTTAATTATTATTTTCTCGTGATATCTGAGATATGACGTGATATCGTCATATCTGAGCTGATAAATATATTTATGTGAAGTTATTTATACAATTTTGTTATTGAAGAAGTCTGTTATTAAGAAGTTATTTATCCTTAAGAAAGAATTATCAATAAAGTTAAATGTTACATTCTTGATATTCATTAATCGACCAGCTATATAGAGAGCAAACTTTACGCATGCTACATACATGATATATACAATACGTTACCATTCGTATAAGCGTCATAGTTGACCTTCTTCACTATTTTCCCAATATTCTGCGTGATAGTGGTATGTTTTCGTTGTTTGGAACATACGCTCATACACTGTTTTAACGCCTCCGATGCCTTCTCGACATGTTTCTACGTATTGCACATGATATATTGTTAAAGAAATAGATTTTCCCGCGAAATTGTAAGTCGGGCAAATAAAAAAAAATGCGTAACGGAAATAACGTAACGAATGATCAGTACTTGTTCAAATGTAAGAAATGCTTCTAAAAATGCGAATACGCTAGTCCCCAGAGAATGGTACATGCTGCTGTCCGCCCATGGTTCTAAAATTTTCTTCGCCTGATCGAAGTCATTGTTGAAAAAACAATGAATTGCCTTTTTTGCCTCCATTATCGCTGTATCCAAATCCATAGAAGTGAGTCTAAAGCAAGAAATACATTTACATTTGAAATAAAAAGATCTCAAAACTAAAAATGCATTTGCATCAAATAATAAGGTATGCAAATGTATGTATATATACGCACTGTGACAATGATTCCTGGGCATCTTGAAACTGAAAAACACGAAGTACACATATTAAATACAATAGAAAAAATATGAATTATTACATAAAGAGCAAATATAAAAATATATGCGTGTATATATATATATATATATATATATATATATATATATATAATTTCAATCTACCTCATCATCACCTTCAACGTCTGACATTTTCGGTTTATGTTAGGAAACTTCTCTGTTCTGTAAAAACAATATAAATAATTTTATGAAAGTAGTTTTTTACATAATCTCTATGCATTAAATTACATATTAAAAATGTATGATTGAGCTGCGAGAAAATAATCTCTAATTGGCTCGACTCAAGTAGTGACTTTAGATTCGCAATCTTATATTGATAATACAATAATTATTCGAAGAGATCAACGTTGATTTTAAATAATTAACAAAATAATAAGTAAATTTTGTTATTGAGAAATTTTTCCGCGAACCTGCGTTTATATTTTTAATTAGTTCTATGTAAACAGATTATTTTGACATAAAATGACTGAAAAAATTATACGTTATCGATAATAAATAATGATTGATAAATAATGATAATAAATAAACGCCTATTTCTTTACAGGGAAAATTAGGAGAAGGAACAAAGAGGAATTTCTGAGATCCCAACCATAGGATACAAATTCCTTAGTTTCCAAATTTTCTTTCTTTCTTAATTGTCGCAATAACATCGCGTGTGGCTCTATTGGCTGAGAGGAATGGAGTGTAGATCGTGATAATAAATAAAGATAATGATTTATATAGTGGATAAATATAGAAGAAAATATCAAAATATTAAAACTGCTTATATTACAATCGCGCAAGTTTAATGAACGAGTATTTTTACTATATAAACGCTATTACTCTACATTTTTAATTTAAAATACTTTGATATTAAAATATTTTTAATATTAAATTTTTTTAGTCTAAGAATCATATCGAGATATTTTTTAATCGATTTCGTATCATATCTATTTGGTTTCTATTAACTACAAAAATTATTACGCTTATAGTAATCTGCCTCTAAAAAAAATTTTAAATCAAACTTTTATTTTAATTCCAACATGGAATGTAATAAATATTTTCCATTTACAGGAAAATATTTATTATATTTTTCATTAAATTAAATAATATTGCATATAAAAATGTAATAAAATAATTTAACTTTCTTATTTTCAACTTTATTCTCTCTTCAATTTTATTTATTAATTCTACTTTGCTGTATATGGATTGAAAAACTCTTCAAATGCTGTGGAGCAAGAAACTCATAACAAAACACTGAAAAAATTTACTAACTTAACTAAACCTTTGTTATTAAACATATATTAGTATTTAAGTCAAATGTCATCATACATGTTTTATTAAATTTATAAGATGTTATATTTAATTTAAATTATTTTTATATGTTCAATTAACAAGATGTTTATTTAGTTGAAAGATTTAATTAAGTTAACAATTTTTTTTCCAGTACACGAATAAATGTAATGAAAGAATGAGACAGTCGTCTTTAATAAAAATTCTTATAAAATAGTCCTGTGCATATAAAAATCACAATTTAAAAAAAATCAATAAAAATAGACCTTTTATAGACAGAGATTACATCTTGTAATAAATTATTATTTTATATTTTATCTTTACTCGAAAAAAATATGATTTTTAAAATAAAAGAATATCTACATATAAAACTGCAGTTTACCAAGCAAACCCGATTTCTCCTATTTATTTACAAGTAGGAAACCTCGTAAGCAAACACACACAATGACAAAATATTTTGAACTTATTGAAATTGGAAATTTTTTTTCGTGAAAAGCCGATTCTCTCTATAAGAGAAACGGACTACGATACACGAATTGAAAAGCGATGACGAGTAACGAGCGATGATTTCAGTACCGCACGAAGAAAGTAGACTGTTACGAAGAAAGTTTAAAAGACTAGAGAAACCTACATTTCCTAAATCCGCACCCGGAGGGGAATGGAGAAAGCGCGCGAGCTGGCGAAATTTTCGTGCAATTCTGTGCGATGCAGCGATCGGCAATTGCAATGTATTCGCGAAATATTCGTCAACTTTTATTTACAATTTTTATAATAGATTTTGAAATAAAACGACAACTTCCTTAAGCTTTGATGTAATAATTAAGATAACAACAAATATACATATATCTTTTATAAGATGAAAAATAAATCGTGATTAACAATATATTTGCGGAAAATTGGATTGTCAAATTTATTTATGTGTGTAGTAATTAATTTCCTCTTTGAAAATAAATAAATTAAAAAATATGCATATATATTATTTTAATTTCATGCATAAATATTTTAAATATTGTAAGTATATATAATTAATCAAATTATCACCTTTTGCAAATGCATGTGCATTATGTTACACATAAAATTGAAAAAAATTTATTTCTGAAATCTGTTTTATTATAAATCATGGATACATATATTTTATATATTCAGAAATAGATTCAGAAATAAATTTTTGTCCAATTTTATGTGCACATATACATATGCAAGAAATGATAATTCGATTAAAAATATACAAGCACGATAAAGAAAAGATAACAGAAGATTATTAAGATAAAAAAGATTTCAAAAATTGTAATCTCTGGTTCAGAAGATTAAATAAATTTTTCACAATAATTTTTTGATAATTTAAAAAAAAATTTACTCCTCTCTCCTGTAAAATACTTTAGTGCCTTAGAAACAAAATATTTATTTATTGTATCGTAGTAATTATTGAAATATTTTAAATTAAATAAAATGAAACAATTATGAACTTTCATGTATAATTTAAAGCAAGATTAAATTCGAGCAATGAATACTAAATCACTAAGAAATAAATTCGGCGATGATATACATTAATTAATCTGCATCAAAATATTATTAATATTCCAAAAGATCACACATGTTAAGTGTGAAAATAAACTATATAAGATTAATAACAATCTTGCATGTTCTTAGTGTAAAATGTTTGTAAATATTCAACGATTATACAATGCGCTTTAATGTCTCGACGAGATCGGTGTATACGTACATAGAAGAATGCGTAATCACGGCAGATCAATTTTTATCAATATTTCATTTGTAAATAGAGCGCAATGCGTGCCTCGTTAAAACACTGGGGGAGTCGCGCGCGTTAGATGCAGGACGCGTCTACGATCGATCGACGTCGTCGTCGTCGTGGAACGTGTGCGAGGCAATGTGTGTGTTAGTAATGATGAACCCTTTCGTTCTGCGACCCTGCGTGGTGAATGTTATCAGAGGATCGCGATGTGCATGCAATGCAAAATTTCTCGATCGAACACAAAGCTGTCGTGACACCGTGAAATAGCGCGACGTATTTGACACAGAATCCACGTTACGACTCGCGCGCGAGAAAGCTCCGCGTGAACTGACGTAAACGGGGAACGCGGTTCCACCATGCTCACCCTTTAACCACCCCGCGTAAAGCCGGGCGATTGCCGAGCAGCGCCGGAAAATGCCGAGGGCCGACGAAAGTATGACTTGTATATATTCCTTGTACGCTGACCGTTCGCCCGCAGAGCACCGACTCCCGTCGACCGTCGACGATGGCACGTGACGTGATTCGCATTTTCGTAAATAGCTGATGCGCGCGCGTCAGGATCGTAACAATATTAAGGAGATTTCACACATTATTGTTTAACAATAAAAATTATATCATAGATTAGATTATATAGCTTGTACATTTAGAAGAAAAATATAATAGCTTTTTCTCTTTAATATTTTTTTCTCGATCAAAATATCTTTTTTGACATATATATATGTAAAACTGTAAGTTACTATCGCCGCTTTATTTATTGAATATGAAATTAAAAATTGATTTTTGTTTGATTCATCAGCTTTAATATATATACTTTCATTGCGGACAATATTATATAATTGTTTTTTCGAATCTACTTATAATATCATCTGTTAAATCTGGATTTTATTCGTTATATATTTGATATACATAATATAAAAAAATAGTTTTCGCTTCCTTGATAAAAATAATATATTATATCTAAAAAAAGTAATATATCTGCTTAATTTGTAATAATTAAATATTTTCTAAAGAGAAAAATCAGAGAGGTATTTTGAAATGTGCAATTGTTTCCTTGAAAAAGATTTCATTGTGTAACATTTTTTTCGGAAAAATATAAAATATTCAATGACAAAAATCTTAGAGAAAAAAAATCAAATTACTAATTGAAAAAAAATTAAGCAAGTATTCGATTTCTCAAAACACTTCTTAAACATGAGGCATACAAAGTATACATTGAATGATAGAACAAATAAAATTCTTCTAGCTTGAATTTTATATCACTTTTTTGTAAGAAGGAAATATTTCAATATGTTTACTTGTTTCAATATATGAATGACGCGATTTCCTTTTCTCACAACAGATTATCTCGCAAATTACCTATATAATTACCACGTTAAATTGGTTTACATATACATGTATTTTTCATTTTAAGTGTGTTTGAGTACCTATAATTAATAACTAATAATGAGAAATCTGCCAGTAATCTTCCATTGCTAATCCAAGGATATATCAAGATAGAAGTACATTATGTATTATTTCTTTCTGTGCTTTCTATATATCTATCTCTCTCACAATCATTGTCAGAAAAATTAATAATTAATCAAATATATATTTAATTATATGTATTGAATTATATGTGTTAGCTAAAACTTCAGACATATTTACTTTAAATAACTATAACAACAAATTTATTAAAATCATATATAGCTCCAAGGCGAACATTGTTATTATTTTCCTGTATGAATATCTCAATGATTTTGATTTTTGACTAATTCTATTTCTCAATAGAAAATTTTTTAACACACGCATACATATATATTATTTATTTATTATAATTCTTTCTGTTGCCAAAAAAAGAAAGCCAATATTTTAATGAAAATCTTAACGCAATAAATAAAGTCTATATCAATCTGATAAATAAGATTACAAAAGGTTTTTGCTAAAAAATAATATATATATTTGATGTTTAAGCAATTCACTAAAAACTTGCAATCGGAATTCCTATTTATGAGAGATCGTATATGATTTTTACTGCATGAGAATTGAATTGCGTAACACGATTCGTAATCTGTTTTTGTATTACATATAATTAGATTTAAATGCATAAATTTGTTTAAAGAAGTACACAGTACATAAACAATGCAATAACATATAGTGAGCATTTCATTACAAAACATTTATTAATTATATAGTTTGCGATTATGTATAGTCTGCAATCAGTGCAATTTTGAACATGCAAATTATATAATTATTATTTTGTTATGCTCTTTTTTAATATTCTGATTGCTTTTGCATTTTAAATGTTTGTTATTATATCATATAATATATATGAACTTTTTTCAATTATTTTGTATATGAAATATGCTTGAAAATTAAAAAAGAATTAAAAATAAAATTAAATACAAAAAATAAATACCAATAAAATAGAATTCTCGATACAAAATTTAATTTAATAATTTATATAGTATACACGCGATAATATATACTGAATATATAAAATACAGAATGTAAAACGTATCGAATATTGCATTTAATCAACGATTTAAAACGTAAATTTGAATATTCTATATTTTGAATAATTGAATCAGACTGAGATCATTTCTATATTTATTCATATATATCGGATCATTATAATTACAAAGCGAAAGAAAACAGAAAATATAATAATTAAGAGACAAAATAAAGTTTAAACACATACACACGTTTCCTTTTCTTGAATCGTCTGTATTTTTTCACAATTGCTCCCTTTACTTTTTCTCTCTCTCCAACTCTCCAACTTTCGAAAGAAATATATATATGTCGATTTAATTTTACGCATAAAAAGTACGGGAGAGATGTACCTATTGTGCAACTGTACACACGACAGAACCAAGGCGATTCGCAGCGCTCGCGTCAGATGGTCATACGTCAAAGTTATATGCATTGCTTGCTCGACGCAACGAGCCAGCAAAATCACCTATCGCGGCTCCGAAGGGCGTTTTCGGAGCGTCCTGAAGAGAGACACGCGGAGAGAATCGCGCGTCGAAATCGCGACGAAGGAGACGAGACGTCGTCGTTGCGAGGCCGCAGCGAGAAGAGGATCCACTGACTGACAACTTCTCCGGAAGCCCGATCGGGGTCCGAAGCTCGTTCCGATTTTCACGGGAGATCGACGTAATCGTCCGCTATATTGCACAGAGAAAGATGTAAACGAAGCCGTCTGTCGCATCCTCGAGCATCTCTCTCTTCGTCTTCGCAGGTTTCTCTCGCGCACTTGGCTCTCGACTGACGCTGCTTACGCAACCTAACCTTCTTCGTCTCGGTCGAAAAAACACTGTCAACGAAGGATCACCGTTGTGTCTGCATTCCTCGACCTGCAAAAAGTGCGTTTGTATTATTTACTTGTAGGAGTAACTATGACACGTCAGAGCATCCTCGCGTTGGAGATTTATTGACGTTTTTGAAGTTTGCGAAAAATCATATGTTACCCATTATACGTTTGTTATTTTGAAGAATTTGTACTTTTTTATTATATTTTGCCTTCTCGCGCCCTTTTATTATTATTGCTCATGATATTATACATTCTATTATGTTATTTATATACGTTCTGATCTGGCAAGAATTTCTTAATATTTGGTAATTCTCATATTCGATAAAAAGTATTAAATCTATAGATTTTATGCTTCTGTTGGAGGATATTAGTTGTTATAATTTATAGCAATATTATCCTCTCCTTGGTTGGTATCTCTCTTTGTTACATATATCACAATGTTGATTACAATATAATATCTTAAAGAATTTTTGATACTTACAGATTTTTAGCGTTTGTGCTTGAGGGTATGAAGAGCAACTCATATTGCGATAACTGTATTGAAAAATCATCTGCTAGTTAACTGGATTTTCATTATGGAAAATCAAGGTTATCACCATCAAAGTCTTTCAACCCATCAGTCTTTCTGGAAGAAGAATACACGTGCTGTGCCAGGAAGGTATATATTCTTTTAAGATTTTATTTTCTATATAATATATATATTCTAAAAGTTACTTACATTTATATATACTTCATTGATTAATTTATTTGTAGGCCAAGCCTGAAGCAGGATGTTAGAAACAATAAATTTAATTCCACGGCGATTGGATCTAGCAATCTAACTAGTATTGCTAATAGTAGTGGTAGTACAGGTGGAAGTGGAGGCTCTACTTCTTTCCAAGATTTTCAGGAGAGCGTGGATGATGCATGGGATTCGGGAGATGACGAATTTTGCACAGTTTCGGATGTGAAGATATCGAAGAAAGTCAGTCACTCAGCAGCTCTTAGTGTTATCAACAATCACAGATCTGGCAATAAGTGTTCACAGTTGCTCCAGGCAAATGCCAAAGCGGTTCAGCAGGAAATTATTCCTGAAGAGAAAAAGGTGGAAGCCCTTCAGAGGCTAGCGGTGCAGCCATTACATTTACGTAATGCAAATCTGCAATTACAAGTGAATAATAGCCAGCATTCCAGTGAGAACATAGATTTGAAGTATGGCTCATCACCTCAGCACAAACCAACGCAATTTCCGGGTAGACCACAACCATTGAGGCAGACAAACGCTCCCAATAAATTTTTTATACCTTCTAAGGAGCAAGGTGTGAATCCATTTGTCGCATATTCAACAGTAATCCTTAAGACGCGAGATTTAAGAATCGCTTATTTTGTTTAGATGGTGAAAGTAAAGTGGACAAATTTCAATTGCTTTTGGAAGCATCTGTTTTGAACTTGGACGAATTAAGACAGTTATCGTGGTCGGGTGTACCTGCCAAATTACGTTCCGTCACTTGGAGATTATTGTCTGTAAGTAACGAAGATAAACTAGCTGTACATTATCGAGCATGGTGAGTGCTGCGGTGAAGCAATAAGTGTTGGTAATGTTGTAGGAGTACTTGCCTGCTAATCTGGAGCGTAGACAACCCGCGTTGGAACGTAAACGACTGGACTATTGGAATCTGGTCAAACAGTATTACGATGTCGAACGAGACGAGGGCTTTCAGGATACATATCGTCAGATTCACATCGATATTCCCAGAATGTCGCCACTCATCTCTCTGTTCCAGCAGACGACAGTGCAATTGATATTCGAAAGAATATTGTACATTTGGGCGATCAGGCATCCAGCATCTGGTTATGTTCAGGTAGTGTCAAGTCACTTATTGCATTGTACTGTAAAAAGATAAGACTGATTCAATATATCGCGATATCATTGTTACAGGGTATGAATGATCTTGTGACGCCCTTCTTTTTGGTTTTCTTGCAAGAAGCAATACCAATACAGGCTTGGCAAGATTTAGAAAATTATGACGTAGCGTCGTTGTCGAAGGAACAGCGCGACATCATTGAGGCAGACAGCTTCTGGTGCCTGTCAAAATTCTTGGATGGCATACAGGACAACTATATATTTGCTCAATTGGGAATACAGCATAAAGTAAATCAGTTGAAGGAACTGATACAGAGGATCGATGGTGCATATCTAGATAAAAACAAATTCTATGCATACTAAACATTTGCATATTTTTTTTAATGTGACCGTCCTTGCTTTGTAGCACCATTGCATCAACATTTACATCAGCACGGAGTGGATTATCTACAGTTCTCCTTTCGATGGATGAACAATCTACTGACCAGAGAAATCCCGCTTCACTGTACCATTCGATTGTGGGATACTTATCTGGCTGAATCTGATAGATTCGCATCATTTCAACTTTACGTGTGCGCGGCCTTTCTTCTACTTTGGAGACGACATTTACTCCTGCAACCTGATTTTCAAGTAATTTATTTCTCAATTTTTAATTTTATATTCAAAACCCGATCTTTGCTGTATAAATTTAATTGACCTAATTTAATTTTTCTAATTACAGGGGCTGATGTTAATGCTACAAAACCTGCCCACGCAAAACTGGACGGATTCGGAGATCGGCATGCTGGTAGCTGAAGCATACAAACTGAAGTACGCATTCGCCGACGCGCCAAATCACCTACAAGCTCATGATACCACAGCTAGGTGACCATTTTTAGTTAACGAATTTGGGTTAACGTTATTATGAATATAGTGGCCAAATTGTGAAGGTGCCGGTAGTATTGTGTTAACGCGCCGGCTCTTTTCTTCCGTCTCTATCGTCGCTATGTATACTGTGACGTTCAATCTATCACGGCCATACTGAAAGTTTCCAGAATGCGCGAAAAGTTTTTACGTTTTGTTTACGCGTTGTCTATTAAGTTTACTTTATTTACTTTGTGCGTTATAAGGTTTATTCCTTTGTTGTTGAGAGAATTTCGCGGACGGAGATGTTTAGATATATTCGCCATGTTCCGCTTCGAATAAGATATAAATATATGAATCAAGACGCGTGCGCATACGCGCACGCGAAGAGTGTAACGCGAATCAATTGCCATTTCCCGGTTTGCATTACATTTTATATATATATAAATATATATAAATCTCAGACACATTATATACAGATAATATATATAGTCAAGAAAGTTTTATATATCGACCCTGTGTTTTGTGCTTTTACATAATAATCGTACCACTTCCCCTCCCTCATCAGCCTTATATATAATTATTCAAACAACAATTAGACATAAATTTGTTTTTAAACATATCGTAAGTATTAATACTTTACTGATATATCCTGATATTTTATTTTATTATATATTTTTGTAATTGTATATATTTTTATTATTATTTAATATGTTTAATATTATTTTAATTTTAATATATATTTCATATATTGTCTTTAATATAAGACAAATCTTGGATTGGGAAGGGAGGTAGGTATATTATTTTATATTACAAAAGATATTGCAAATAAATATGATTAATACCTGTTATCTAGCATCTAATATAATCTAACTATATTTTAATTATATCTTCAATCGTCCTCTGGATCGATTTGGCTATGATGAGTACTATCTGCTGACGGCATCATCGAGAACGACTCGTTGAGATTAAAAGTTTCCTGCAAGGAAAGATAATTTCGTTAATCGTACTAATGTATCTGGGCGAGATATCGTAAAGATGTCCAGAAGATATAATTTTCTAAATCTTTCAGGCATCTTTCGTTTTTCAAAACATCTTGATTTTTTGGAATATGCATACATACACTCACGTAATCCACGTACACAGGCATTGGATATACGCAAGGCATGCATTCCATTTGCGTGACGCCGTTATTATCAGCTGTACACTCGCATAATTGACATTTGTTCGGCTCGGCTGTAAGGGCGACCCTCTTCGCAAAGACGCTCACGAACTTTTTAATTAAAGCCGACTTCTCGAGACGCAGCTTGTCGCCGCTGAATATCGTCCCGTTCGTTTCCAAAGACAGCGGTGTGCAATAACCCAGCACATTCTTGGAGAGCTTGACCTGTCTTCGTAGAGCTTCATCGCCGAGTAGCTTTTTAAAATCGTTCCTGGTGTACGACTTGGACGCATCCAAGCCGTAGAAGGTCTTGCCGATCTTCTCTTTCTCGAATTGGAAATCGTCATCCATTAGTATATGCAGAGTGATGTCGTGTTCCAACAATACTTGATGTAATACCGAGTACTCCAACTAAAGCAAAATATCGAAAGATGAATTAGACTAGTAGAATTCATAAAAAATATACCTTAAGAATAGAACTTACTGTTTGATTCTCTGGTTCGCAATGCGAGCATGGCATCAATATGAAGGTCTTTGACACGCCAGCCCTGAAGACGAGTCGTGAAGCGAATCCAATCGCGGCGAAAATATCTTGATTGCCGTTGCCTACTGGCACATAATTGAAATAATCAGTGAAGCGTGCCACGTTCTTCGTGAAAATCTGTCCGTCGAGAATGATGCTCCTGGGTCGATCGTAGACTTCGTCACCGCCGAATATCACCAGGGACCATCGATTTTCCGTGAGACCTAGGTCATTCAGTTCTTTATCGAGCTGCGTAATCAACAATTCCATGCTGCTATTCGACGTCATGTTGCGATTACAGCTTTTTGCCTCGACGATGAATACCACGTCGACTGATCGGGGTACTTCGTCGTCCTCCAATCGCTTGAAACGGCCTTCGGCCACCTGACTACCGTCTATCATAGTGCACGTAGTGCATTTGTCGGGAATTCTCAGATAAGTGTCGTGGAACATGCACCTCTGCATGTAGGACATCGCCACCGTGCAGGCCTCGTCTTCAGTGAAGCTATTCAGGCACATTCTAGCGTACATAATCGGATCGATCACGCCGAAACAGATACCGAACTCTGAGCTCTTGTTCACGAACAGCTCGTCGCAGAATTTGAATATTGCATTGTCCAGATGTTGGATCTTGTTGGCGCGATTTGTCGTGTCAACGCAGTTCTCGTTGATAGACCAGCTATGAGCGAGACTGCCGGTGTCCTTTAAAAACAGTTTGTTCGATCCCAGAATGTCGTCGAATTGTTCGTTGTTCATCGTGCCGAAGAGACCGGCTGTCTTCCCGTAGTACCAGCCTGATAATTCTAAGGTACACAAATTGAACTTGAGATTACACTCCAATCGGAATTGATCGTGCTTGCGTTCCACCGTCACCACGTTCTCTACTTGATAAACGTACGTCGCACCATGATCCAATTCGATCGGCAGCTGTAGATTTGTCGTAGTGCCCTCTGATTGGGAGATCAGCTTCATAGTCTGAATAAAAATACATTGTATTTGATATTAAGATATAAATTGAGATTATTTTATTATTTATTGCATTAAAAATAATTTCTTTTATAATAAAAGTGCAATGATATATGATATAGATTTCCTTTGATAAATTTTCTATCTTTTGAAGCAGAGATATAAGTTTTTTATGTAAAATAATATACTATTGTGTGTGCAACAATTATTATATATAACATTAAATATATACATATGCACAATTATTAAATATACATATAATATATATTATGTTATAATTCTTAAATATTTTTTACAAGATAAAACTGTGATTGAAATTATAATTCCATTCTTGTTATGAGATAGTAAGTTTTACTAACATCGTTAAAGAGATCTAATTCGATGGCGTTGTTTCCAACCAATACTATGATCTGGTGAGTTATCTTTTCGGTTTCTGTATTATATTTCACCAAAATTGCAAAAGTATTGTGCACGAAATCCTTCGCTAATAAATAGGTACAATTTCCGACAAAATCGAAATAACGTCCGTCAAAAGTGATATAATGCTGAGAACCGATAATCATGGCTTGCGCTGAAAATAACATGAATTATTATACTTATTAAAAATAAAATATATGTATATTGAATTAAATTCAAATATAATAATGAGAATAAGAGAAACTTCGTATCTTTCAGTTATTTCTCTAATTATCGTTTTCTCTCTTGCATTGCTTCTCTAAAGAGTAAATGAATGAAAGATAAAAAATTATTAGATATAAATTAATTGATATATATATAAATTAAAGATATGATATCCTTCGTTTTTCATTTACTTTCTCATATACATATAATAATACAAAAGCAAAGCGAGAGAGCAGCATGTAAGAAAAGAAGTGTTAAAAAATCAGAAAGGCAATTAATACTGTATTTCCCATTATTACATTTTTGTAAACAAACCTTTGAACGGCGGTAACCAGTTCGTCAGCTCCGAATACGGTTTGTACTGATAGTAAAGACTCCAGAAGGTTGTATTCGAAGTAACGAAGTATTTCTTCATGTCCACGATTGCTCTAATTTCCGGTATCTCGTGGAATTCAGGTGTCTGATTGAAAGCGTGCCAGGACATGGGCAGTTTCTGCTCCAGACACATCAAACCCTGATTAGGATCGAAGATGAACATGGTTTTGGCTTCCCTGTATTGACTCTCAGCTTGTAACGCCGTCTGACCGATGTCCATCATCTTGGAATGTACCAGCTGAATGAGACCTTCTATCTTAACCCTGACTTCAAAGTACTCACTAAGATAACCGATTTTATCGTACATTTGCTCGAGTTTATCCAGAGCGTAATTGACCGATGGTAGTTTTCGAAGCTCCTTCAATTCTGACACAATTTCCTCTGTGACGTCATTAAGTTCTTTGCCAAACGGCACAAAGGCAAAATAGCGTTGTTTTATGAATTGTATCACCAGACGCGAATATTTGTGCACGTTAGTCACTATATCGTTCGCTTTAATGTCGCGATAAACTTTGTCGACGTCCTGCGTAAAGTTGGTGAAACGATCAAAGTACGGCGACGTGATAATCTCCTTCTTACGATCGTACAAGAAATCGAGCATCTCCCTACTCGCTTTCCAGGAGAGTGTCTCAAGATAATGAATGAATCGGATAAATAGAGGTTCCATTAATTTCAAGAAGCGATGCCATTGTTCCGAGATGGACGAAAAAATTGTGTTCCAAAGATTCTCCATGTATTTGATGAAGGACACGTGCAGATCCTTAATGAACATGTCGTATTTCTCAATCAGCTTCTCGATTATGTTCGCTACTTGCGACACCGAGTCACCTCTCAGCACAGCGGCGATAATCTCGGATACTTTGTAATAAGCGTTTTTGATGGTCTCAATCAGCCAGAGCAATGAATTTCGCAGGGCTTCGCCGGAGCCGCCCATTATTTCCCAAATCTCGTTCAAAATATTAGGAAGAGATTGGATATGACTTCGCAGAGACAATTCATCGACGACGTATATTCCGATACCAACGATATCTTTGATGTAGAAGTGATTAGCATTATAAGACTCGTTCAAATATATCTGGAGTTCTTCAAAGTCATACTCGAGATTTTTTAAATCACTAAAAAAATACAATATTAAGATATAATATAAAACTGTATAGAAATTAAATTTTATTTTAATATTTTTTATTTTATAATTCTTTCGTTTATATTTTTTGATAATCAATAACAGATTTAATATTATGGATATTTACTTTTTGAAATACTTACTACCAATCGTCAAGGAATCCTGAAATATCCTGTTCAGCGTCTTGCCACACATCCGTGATGGCATTTATTACTTCAGTTTTTATATATTGTTTCCAATAATCGATATCATCATTTACACTTTCACACATTTCGTTAAATGTCGTTTTTACAGTATTCTGTAAATAATCATAATTGCGTATTAATTATATTGCATTACATAAATATACTTTGATGTACATATTTATATAACTTACAACAATATCACTCTTAAGTTCGGGTCGCCATCGTAAAGTTGAAGTAATGAGTCTCGAGTGATTTAATTTCAAATAGAAAGAAACATCCGAAATGGTTAAATCGTCGTCGTATGTCCTCCAAATATTAAATATGGCATTTCGAGCGTCCGGAATATTACCATGCATTCTAAAACTCACTCGTGCATCTATGGAACACAAAATATTGCAGAATGTAAAAGAAATAAACAGATAAGGAACTTGAAGAAAAATAATTATTTTAATTTTAGTTTTAAAATAGTCTAGAGAGTGTTTATAAAAAAAGAAAAGTAATAAAAAATGTATTTAAAATATATCCGTAAAAAATATCTAATAAAATAAAATATTAATGTCTATAATATTTACCTAGATAGCCACAGTAATTATTATGACATCATTTTGATCAAAATGATATCATAATAATTACTGTGGCTATCTGGGTAATATCTCATTTTGATATACATATAATAATAAGAGATTTTCAGTTTTCACCATTTTATCTTATTTAATTTAATTTAATCTCTTTATTTTAAAATATGTAAATTATTAACTTTTTTCAAAATTCCTTTTTGCAACTTACCAGGCGTGTAATTAACCATCGTCCAAATAAGCTTCTCACTTGGATCTAAGAAGAAGGCACCGGTAGCATTGAGTTCCGGCGTATTGATAGCGCTACCATTTATGACGTAACGAGAAGACGATGGATAATAACCAATTGCGAAATATTTGACCGCCTCATTATTTACTCGTCGGAAGAAAATCTCCCTCGATTTCCGATCGATTCGACCAATCAATTCTCCAGCTTCATTAGACACATAACTGCGCGTGTATCGAGCATGATTCTCTGTTTCGAGTAACATATATCCTTGTCTGCGAACGAATCCTTCGACGTCGAGATCTAATCTGGTGTTGACGTGCTTGCCGACTATTTTATAGAAATACTTCCTGCTCGATGCATCGCTCTCGTCCCTTAACAAAGCGGATAACGTCAACAGCTTGTCCTCGTTGGTAGAGTAATTCGCAGTGAAGACGGCGTTTAATAAGTCCTTGTGGTTTCTCTTCATTAATATGCCCTTCAACGTGACATTCTTCTCTTCGAAGGTCGGATGTCGAAGACTCAGTTCGACTTGCTGTTGTTTCTCCATGGATGTGCTGTTAATATTCGTCCAATTAAATGCCGCACCGACAATCCTCAATTTTTCTTCGTCGCGTTTCCATTGCAAGTTTGCTTCGGAGCTCACCTCGTCGCTGGTGATTTTATATGAACCGTCTATAGTGAAGTTTCGTAGAGGATAAGAGCAACTAAGGATGAGGTACTGATTGTCCATGTCCTCGGTAGTTTTGTTCAAGATGTTTATATGATAAGACACCCAGGCATCCTCGGCCAGACTTAACCATGTATTCTGATCGAATTCGCCAGGCAATACTTGGTAGTCCGTCTTCAGCTGCACTGTCTTGTTCGAGTGCATCGCCTTCAAGTGGATATCCTGGCCGGTGTGGGTAGTTCGGATTCTGGATTCACCGGCGATATTGAAAGCGGAGCTGTTATCTAATCGATAAATATTCACTTGTTTGAATTCGACAGTGGGATAGTTGGTCCCCTCGTTTCCACCGCTGTACTCATATTGATTCACGTAGACGATGCCTATGGGCTTATAGATGTTCTCCACAGTGATTTGAATACGATCCTTTTCGAAGCCAGCCCGGGATTCACTCTTTGAATTATATTGAGCATGCAACACTGTCTCGTTATTGTAAGTCAAACTCGAATGGCCCGTGGTCATCTGTGGACGTTTTTTATAGCCAAAAGTCAGATGGCTGACGTGACGAGTATTCAGAGGAACTTCTATATGCAAAACACCATCTAGATTCGAGTCTAATCGCTCGCTGTAATAATTGTAATCGGAGTTGAGTGAAGCCGTATTATTAGGCCAGAAGAACTCAACGAATCTTTTATTCTGTTTCCTGCATATAAAAAGAGAAACAGTATAATTATTATAGAGAAAATTAAAAATTGAAAATAATAGAATTGCTTTTAAATTACTTATTAATTTACTCACATTAATTATTTGTAGAAAAGTTTTGATTTTTATAGACAATATTATAGGCGATTTATTTATAATACATGTTATAATATAATAATAGATTTACTTACAAAGTAGTAAGTACAACAAAGTTGCATCCGACGTATGCTAAATTCCGAGTAGATATCGAAGCGTTAATGGTTCCATTAACATTAATTAGACTTTCATAAAATATCCTTGCGGTTCCAATTTGTTGTCTTGGAGGATAAAAGAGATCGGCATTAATTAAATTTCGTTCATCAGAATTACCGTCGTAACTAAAGAGAAATACAAGTGTTTCTTCTTGCAGAAATTTCGGCGTATACAGAGAATATTTGAGCTCGATTTCTTTATTATCGAAGGTGATATTAAAAAGATTGTTCACAGATTGCGTCGACAGTAAACCCCATGTCACTCGGAAGTGTCCATTAATATCGCGTGTAGCCATACGAACCTAAAATTTTGCATAGTATTTTTTGAGAAAAAGAAAATATTTTCATTTTAATTATGCATATAAATATACAAAAGAGAAAGAGAAGAGAAAGAGAGAGAGAGAGAAAGAACAATTTAAATTTTAAAAACTTATAATTTTTTCTATAAACATTCTTATGATTAATATATTGTTCAATATTTCTCTTAATACTATATATTTCTTTTTGAAAATCTATAGTTATACATTTATACAATTATATATATTTTTGAGAATTACATCTTTCTCAGTCCACATAAATATTTTTAATAAAATATAGAAACTATTTAAATTTGTATTATTATCTGGACTAATTTTACTATTTATTAATATTAATATTAAAATACAAACCGATCCATCCGAAGCATAATTACTCTTCGCTTGAGCAGCATTGTAACCCACGACATAAGAAATGTCCTGCATGTCCTTGCTAGTGTGATAACTAATCAAGAACCGATGATCGTCATTATCCGGAGGTGGCAATTTCACAACGAACACCGTATCAAAGTTTTGCTTACTGCGGAAACCTATAGTCATGTTTGTCCCGAACTCCCACATCTTTCGATTAATATCCAAGTTTAAGCCCATATCGATAGCCCTATACAACCGACCAATGTTCTTGAAGAACACGTAAGTTGACAGTTCCTTCTCGCCCAAATCTGCGGTGTCATATCCTGCGACCAGTTTTATTAACATATCTTCCATATAAATCAACTTCCATTGAACATCCGCATGGCATTTGTCGTCATTTAATCGATGATTTAGTCGAACGTCACCACTCGTATTGGTCACCATCATGTTGCCGTTTACCGTCACAGTCCTACTATCATTCCAGGGTGTCTCGGCATGAATATATAGAGTGGTGTTGCCATTCACTTGCACATTCATGAAAGTATTTAGTTGATAAATATCTACTTTATCAGCTTTTTTGAGATCCGCACGAGCTCTCACATCCCAATTCAAATTGTTGAGAATATTTGCGTCAATGGTGCCATTAAATGATCCACCGTCGACGTCTAGCAAAAGACCGTATGTTTTTCTCTTCAATCTAAAAATGATTTGATCGATGTTCGCGCTTTTCGGTTCAGCTTTTACGTCTATCGAAGTCAAAGTGTCATTTTGCACAAAAATGACAGAGCTGACATCATAAGATTTTGCTTGCAATTGATCCTTCAATTCTCCTCTAACGTCGTACAACGATTCATTGATCTGTCTTAGATCTCCGTGGAAGTGGAAGTGAGGTTTTTGCGACAGCGGCGTATGTAGATCTGCGTCGATCTTACCATTACTTAAATTTCCAGCCAGCTGATATTCCTGTTCGCCAAGATGCGTTACGTGTACGTTCAATTTGGCAGTATTATTTATACGAATTGCATTGCTATATAGGACGTCGGTTTCCAGCGATTCTAAAGCTTTTATCCAACTCTCCAGTTTCGCGGAAGCTCTTATAAGATGCTCGTCTATTTGCCAAACAGCCTCGAAAGATGTCTACAAAAATAGTAATTTTAATTTAATATTTTATTTAGATAATAAAATAATTTAATTTTTATATGAAATAAAAATAGTAATTAGCTCTGTTAAGTAATTTTTATATGAAACTCAATTCAATTAAAATTAATTGCTAATATAAATAAATTATTAATCTATAGCTTATAATCGGATTATATATGATACTTACGTATTTTGATACAGGCTCTTTTATCCCTGCATTAAATTTAATTTGCTTTCTACTTCCAGTAAAATCCTTTTTCGCGGCGATTGTAGTTATCGGTATTTTTAAAATAGGTGAATCGATTGCACCCGTAATCATCATATCAAGCAAAGCTTTCTCCATCTACGGGTAAATTAACGTATATAAATATTTTTATTTTTATATATTTGAAAAAATCTTCACCCATAAATGAGAATTGTGCACAACTCACCTTTATATTTCCTGACAAATCAATGATTAATTGATTTCCACGAATCGTAATTGTACTTCTGTAAAGATTGCCTTCGATTTCTACAACTGCGTTAGTACGTAAGTCTTTAAGAAATTCTAAAGGTGTCCTTATATTGAATTTTACCAAATGTGCCTTCGTATTATTCGTGTCGATTTGATACGTATAATTGCCATGAAATCCGGTCTATAGAATAATAAAATTTTATATATTTTGTATACATTTTCTTTACCTATATATGTAATTTGTTGATTTGTACTTTTAATTAAAAGTATATAAAACATATAAATTGTGTTGAATTATACATTATAATATTACCTCGATCCATGTAATATTTTTCCTAACGTTTACGCCCATTTCCATGAAATAGGTCGATTGCTCATCAAGCTCATCGATTTGAAATATGTAGAATGATGTTATCTCTTTGATATTACTGAATGTCAAGTCAATATGTAGATCATTTTTTATATGAAATACATCTTCCATAACAAAATTGTCGTCTATGATGATTTTGCCGAGTGGCAATTGGATTGTGCTTAGAATCTTATAAGTATCACCTTCAGTATCGATATCTAACTCTCCCGATATATCCGGAATTATTATGAGCCACATCTGTATAAATGAATAAATACAGAGATAATGACATATTATCTAGTCTAGTATATAATATTATTAAATTAATAATTAGTAATGTTTTATTAAAGGAAAATAAATAAGTAAATAAAAATATATATAATAAGTCTCAATTTTAAATTAATTTAAATTAATTTCTTATTATTTTCTATGTTAATATAGTAGTTTCCTATATCATAGCTTATCATATTTCTTAAAGAGAAAAAAATGTTTGATATGTATATATAAATTAAATTTCTTTTATAAATTAGATTTCAAATTTAACATAAAAATTTAACTTTTGTGATTAGATTTTTTCTTTCTTGTTCTATTATAAATTATAATTACCTGCACTTCTCCTCGCCAATAGAGACCATCCTCATCCTCTTCCTCTTCTTCCTCTTCTTCTGTCGACTCATCACCATCAGGATCGTTTGTCGTGGATATAATCCCCCGTTTCAGCGGAATCTTAACAGGCGGAGGTTTCGGTCCTCCTTTCACCTTGATACCAAGTTTATTGTCTGCCAATCTCAATGAGAATTCTGTGTCTACGTTCAGCATGTCTTCAGCCTCCGTGCGTACCACAATCAATTTGGTAATCACCCCGCATTCCTGCAGACCCTCCAACGGTGTGAGCACTATGTAGCTGTAATCGAAATCGGTGATGTTGTGATAGTGCCAAGTACCGAGAAAGCCTGCTGTGATATTGTTATAACCGATCCTGAAATCGGCCTCACGATTATTTAATTTGGCCACCATCAGTGCCTTTTGCAGTAAGTCGATGGGCGTCGCCAGCATGAACTTGACGTTGAAGTCGTAAGCGGAGGTGAAGAGCTGGCACAACGCTTCGACACCCAGCGGGCCATTCGGCGTGATGATCTCTGCCACTGCATGCCGGTTGTTCTCCGACAGACCGAATCTGCCACGAACGAAGGCGAACTTCTCCAGCGGCGTGGTGACATTAAACTCCACCTTAGACTCCTTCCAGAGTACGAGATCACCGATTAGGTTGCCGGTATATTTGCGTTTATCCAGCTCGAGATTAGCTGCGCCGAAGAATCTCCAATTAGTGATGAGACGCAGCTGGCACTTGAGTTCGTTCTTCCGGTAGTTTGCCAAGGGTGAATATAGGTGCAGATTGCCGGTAAGATTGAATACATTGTCCGATTCCTTGTCTAAATGCCAGATGCTGCGCGCGTCAATCGTTTTGTCAGGATTATACTTGATCAGCATATGCGTGTCAACTGTTTGCGAGCGTAGCATTTTGTGAGTGATGTTCACGGTCACCCACGAAAAATTGGAGTGTAAAGTGCTGGTAAAACCGCAATTCGCCATCCATTCCTTCAAGTCCTCATGCTCGTTCGCACTAGCATCGAATTCCGCTATTGCGTACTGGGAATCCTTCCAGTAAACGCTACTGCTAGCTAGGACTCTATCTGACAATTGTACATATCTGCGCGCAATAATAAGATTAAAATAATAACTGACAGTAAAAGCTATTTTTCTATAATCAAAACTTTGGAAATTAAATAGTCATAGTTTGTCAAAAAAAGCCAAGAATATTTGATTCGACTTTGTATTTGTAAAAATAGATAAAAATAATAGTATATTTTTATATACATGTCTCATTATCATATAAAATAATTTAAAACTGAAATGCAAGCTCTTACCTCATGTTTAAGGCGGTCTTTTTCCATTGTTCAAAAGGCGTTAATAGCTGCGATTCCAATTTGACATACGTCCTCATTTCTGGCTCTACTTTTACGACATAATCCGCATTGATCGACGCTTTAATTATGTTCTCCGGATTCCAATTCACAGTAATATCCACTAGATAACTGTGTGGACTACGTATAACCAGGTCACAAGAACCAGTTATTAATCTACCCGGATAAGTCAACGTTATCATCGTGTTTCGCTTGATTCCGGGTGAAGTTGTGTCCATCAGGTACTCTCTACTTAATTGCAACATTGTGCCGAGTTTCAAGGCGGGATCTCTGTTGGCGTCCCACTTAATCTCCGCTGCCAACTCTTGCCGGTTCTCTTCGTTGATACCGCTTAAGGTCAAATGAACGTCCCGCCATTTGTCTAAATGCAGCTCTAAACGAATTTCTCGTGTAATATCAATGTTTGTCATCGCCGAATACACGTTACTGCGGTATCTAGCTTCTATATACGACATTATATTGGTTGTCGACAGCGTTGTATGATTCAATACAAAGGCATACTTATCGTAGTCTAATTGTTCGGCATATAGATTGACTCTAAGATCACTATGATTCTGATACAAATGACAGTTAAGCAAAATTGAATTGACAAAGCTCGGCGATTTCAAGATCATTTTTAAGTGATGATTGATGATAGCAGCCGATGATCGATCGGAGTAAGTTCCGCGCGCAGTCATGTTGTGACCGCTGAACCATGTGCCAGAGAAATCCAATTCGTATTCATGTCGCGATCGCTCCTTGATACGTGCCCCGATCAACATCGAGTTGAAATTTGGAATCGTTAGATTCGTGTGACCCTCTATGGAGAATAGCAGATCACGCGGCGTAATGATGTTGACGATCAGACTAATCTCCTTGCCTGCAAATAAAAAAGATTTATTGAATATTTTTATTTATTAAATATTTGTTGAATATTAAAAATTTTGTTTATATAATAATTTTATACCAGGTGCATATCCTATGAGCAAACTGGTCTTTGATTCGGCGCCGAGGGTGTAATGATTGATGCCCATTTTGAGGTCCAGGTTTTGAATGGGTTTGGTGACGGCTATTAGCGCATTCACCTTCGTGCCCTGGTTTTGAAAGTACATTTTCGAGTAAGAGATGATAAGCTGCGCCGTGAGTTTGTGTCGATCATCCTTGAGATGCGGATTCGAATTCACTTCGGCGTGCAGTTCTAAATGGCCGAGAGCTTGCTGATACCAGGCGTTTATCACAGTATTGAGTTGCGGATAAGCGGTGGATTGCAGCTTCATTTCGGCAGTCTTATGCGTGAGCGTCTTCGACGAACGATTAGATAGCGAGACCTCTAGGTGAAGAGTCTCTTTTTTCGGCATACGTTGCAGCTGATAATCTAACTGGAAATCGCCGGCCAGGCTAATATTTCGTTGAACGATGTAGCCGACTAATTTACTCCAGACTCGCTTTGTTTGAAAGGTCAAATCTATATCGAATTGGGAGATGTTGTTTTTTTGCGCGTTCCTTATTGCACCTGATGCAGTTAAAAAATAATTTTTTGTATATGTGTATTATTTGTATATTTGTGTATTATATCAAAAATTATTTGTATCTCTATTAATCATTTGTATATATATGATAAAATTATGATAAAATTACTTATAAAATTAACGTACGTTAATTAGAAACTAAAATTAATTTTTCAAACTGAAAAAGATATATTTGAAAGACAACAAATACCTGAAATTGCAGCAACTCGTTCATTATTGATAGTTAGATGAATTTTAGGATGATAAGTGTAACCATGAGTAAACTTCTTTCTCGTGTAACCCACGCTGGCATCCAAGTGTTTTGTACCATTGATATCGAAACCGATATCCATGTAAGTCTCATTTTCAGAACGTTTGTATGTGCCTGGAAATAAAGAATTGCTTTAACACCTTTATTAATAATTATACATATAATTTGAAAAAATTATATATACATTTACAAAATATTAATATAAATTAAATATTATTACCTTTAGCAATCAAAGAATTGCCAGCCGAATGAATTAAAGCAGTAACATTATTATTTATTATATCAAAATCGACAGTAGCGCTTATTTCTCTGTTCACCTGCGAGCCAGGTGTGTCAAACATGAACTTAAATGTGCTATGGTTCTGAAATAAAATTAACAAAAGCCATAATTGCATTGTAATTTTCATTAAATATCAATATTATATACCAGCTTTTACTTTACCTGAGTTTTATTCCAATTATACTCCAATACATAATTCTTAGCGGTTGGATCGGCTTTAATCAACGAGACCTTGAAAAGCGTAAGTCCACTTAAGATAAAATAAGGCGCTTTGAGATCCTTGGTCATATTCGTGAATTGATAGTCAGTGCACATTTTCAAACCTATTAGCCGGTCCAAAGCAGCCCAGCTACAAGTGGTGTTACTGACAATATTTTTAGGTATGACTACCGGATGTTGCAAATTCTTTTGGTTTTCATCGGCTATCAAGATGCCCAACGGCTTTTCTTCAATTTCGGCACCTTTAATTTTAATGAAAGCGACGTCCGAGTGCAACGAGAGCACATCTACCTTGCGATTCGGTAAGCCTAAACTCACGTGCACTAAACGGGTATTATTTATGTTCAAATGAAGCTGCACAGTTCCGGAAGAGTACATGTTTGTTCGCAACTTGAGCCCAGCAGATTTGTAAAAAGCATCGACAGTCATCGTGCCTACCATGTCGATATTTATGCTGCAAAAACGTCACATAAAATATAGAATAAGAAATATTAAAAAAAAAAATAAAAATATAGAGAGAAAAGAATACAAAAATAAATTATTTTTCTGAAAGAGACGTATAGATAGATTTATTTAATAAAATCTAATCAAATATAGAAGTTGTATATATAAAAAGAATTTTCCCTGATTTAAAAATTAATTAAAAAATCGATAAAAAAAATAGAAAATAATTGCATCGTTTTTAATCGTAGTTTCATAACTACGATTAAAAACAATTAATTACGATAAATTTTTAATTTTTTCTCAATAAATTCCAACAAAACGATAAAAAGCAATATATTACTATAAGAATTTTATCATATTAATATATCATAATAAATATAAGATGGTTAATTCTTATTTATATTTTTGTAACTGCATTTATGATTATTATTTATTATAGAATAATTTTTGAGTGTATGAAATAAATAAATAAATAAATAAATAAATAAATAAATAAATAAATAAATAAATATATATATATATATATATAAAGAATAAACAAACCTGGAAGCAATATTAGCTGTGAGCTGGAACTCTCTGTCGGATAATCGAGCATCATCGAGTATTTTCGAAATCTTAAGATTGCAAGCCATGGAACCGGCCATATCCAAGCGAATCGGTAGACCAGATCCTGTTGGCACGACATAAGAGGAATCCAAGAACATTGCCGTTCTTTCATAGAGAATTTCTTGCATAGCCAAAAATTCTTTCATCTTTTGCCAGAGATTGAAATTCGCCAGTGCAGACATCACTTGCTTGTCGCCATCCAGTGTCGTAAACTTCAACTCATTTCCGAATATCTATTGCAACAAACAACAATGATGTTATCATAATTAGTTTATATGTATGTAGAATGTATAAAAAAAAGTATATATATTGTTATTTATAATAACTATATTGTATATATTTTAGTAAACTCAATTTTTGGATTTTAAATTTTATCGAGATATATATATATATTTTTTTTATTTATTTATTCATATATACCTTATATCCAAAACTAATTTTCGGATGATCGAAATTGTTATCGATAACATTAGGCAGTCGATTTACACCATCCCAGTAATTTTTCTTCTCCGATGCCGATCTGAAATATCTGAGAAAAGTCCGAAGGTGATTCGAAACTTTTTCGTTGTTGTAGACACCATTTGGACCGAAAAGATTCTCTGCATAATATTCCAGACCTTCCATTCGTGTAGTAATTTCAAATAAATTCACGGATTGGCCGAAAAGATCAGTGGTAACGTTAAATGTAAATGATCGTGGTACGTATGATTTTGGTGAGAAAATCAAATTTGTTTGATAATTTGCGCCGATGTTATACTCCTTGGAAAAGAAGGAGTTTTCGTAATTACGCGAAAACTTTCTAACATCGCTGTTGAATTTATTATCGAGGTCTCGATCTGTCAGTAAACTTTGAATCTCGACTCTAGTAGGCGAGGCAGAGTTGTAGAGATTCACTAAATGACTCCATACGAAAGAACCAACTGAAAACAATTTTTAAAAAATTAAGAAAATAAATCCAAAAATTAAAAATAAAAAAATGACCCAGATAGCCACAGTAATTATTATGACATCGTTTTGACATCAAAATGATGTCATAATAATTACTGTGGTTATCTGGGGACGTAAATTAAATTTTTTCTTTAAATAAACTTAAAATTGTAAAATTATAAAAAAATTGTAGAATTGTAAAAAAAACAGGTCAAAAACATAAATTATAATAGAGATAATAAAAGCTTATTAACTTTTTCATATTAAGATTGATATACAAACCTTGATTGACTTCTTCCATTTTGAGAGTATGCTTGATAGTTTTAATAACATTGTAATCAGGACAATGCATTACTTGTAAGTAAGAGGCAATACGAATTTCAGTATCTAATGTCGTATTGCGATAATAATCAAGGAAGAATTCATCTCTTGTCTCTTCGCAGGACGGCAGTCTACGATGAGCATCAATGGCAGCAATACGAACTTCCATAGGTAAGAATCCACCATTATCATCTATGCACTTCTTCAAGTCTCTTTGTAAATTCTTTGTTTCAAGCCCCATGTTACCAATTGCCTTTAAAGCTTCCAATGTCTGCAATTATACAGTTATATTAAATTATTAATAATTAATTATCCACTTAATAATTATACATTTAATAATTAATTATTTTTTATTAATAATTATATTATATTTATATTAGTTTTTTTCCTTTTCGTAATTATTGTCAATTGTAATATTGAACAAAAAAATTATTTTTAAAGCTTTATTTCTTTTGCTATGTGTGTATGTGTTAACACGCTGTTTATTTTTCAATGATTAGAATTTACTGCAAATGGCAAGATTATAAAATTATAAATATTTTACTTCTTTCGTCACGAGAGGAGAATGAAGACGAGGCGCGCAACCTTGTGAGATTTTCCGCTGAAGATGCGACAGGAACGCATCCACCTCCTTTAAATCGATGCAGTTATCGTGGTTTTTGCAATATGTGTGAATAATGGTGGAGTAGCTGAGACTAAACTGGACGTCCGAAATTTGATGTTCAAAGTCCAGTAGCTGCGAGATACCTTTGATGGTCTCGCGATCCGGTCGCGGGAACAAAGCAAAAGTAATGATCCAATCATTAATGGTCGCCTGATCAACATATTTCTTTACGATCAAATCCTTCATGACGTTTACTGCAGCGTTGCTGTTTAGGTATGGTAGTGCTGCGATGATGTGCTTCCTATAAAATAAAAGAAAATATTAAACATTATTAAGAAAAAATATTGACAAATTATATATTAATTAAAATAAATGTATCATATAAAATTTCTATTATTTATCTTTTTTAATTATTTTTAAACTTAAGTAATTTTCAGTCGACTAATAAGATTGTTAACAATGCTATACGTACTTTCCAATTTTGCAAATGTTATTAGCCCTCGAGAACAATTGCGACAACAGGGGATAATCTAGAAAACGAGCCGAACGAATAAAATTGGTAAATATTTCAGAGAATCTTTGCTGCAACTCATCGGTGTTTGCGAGTCGACACATGCTCTTTAGAAGATCTCGGGAGGTTCGCAACTCGCCCTGCATAGTCTTCAGCGTCTTCGCATGGTCATATAGCAGCGTGGTTCTCTTCTTGTGAGATGCGTCTTGAATAAAATTATCTTTGTCCTTTTCTTCACTATCATTTTCTTCTGATTCTTGGAAGAAATCCGTCTCCCTTGTCTCCTGGATCAGTTGAAGAATGACCCGAGAATCGGTCCTGCCACCAGCTTTATCACCATTGGAGAGTGGTTGCAGCAATCGTACTTCATCACAGACTACCCTCTCGTAGATGTTATGATCAATCGTAATCTCGCAGTCGCTGCGTGATGTGAACAATCCATGTTGCTCATGTAGCTTTCGCGGAGTTCTGTAAGGATTCGATTGCACAACGGAGAAGTACTTGGGACCATTTTGACAGTCGGCCAAATTTTTGCTCTTCTTTACGATCAAACTGGTTCGCTTGGCCTCGTATAAACGATACTCAGTGTCGCAGGCGCCGTAAATGTCCACTTCGTTAACGTCGTGGTCCACGTCGAAACGTCGCATGCTGTTCTGCAGCATCGACAGCATGCCCCTTTTCAGATTCAACGCCCAGACCGGCTCGCGCTGGTCCGGACACAGCTCGTGGATTATCCCATCGTCGAATGTAAATCTTAGTGTGAAACGCTCAAGACTGGTCTTAAATTCATAGCCAGCGCGATCAGGAAACTCGACGTTGTATGTACTACGATCATGACTTATGCTGGCGTTCAGAACCTTGAGGGAGCCCTCGCAAGGGCTGCTGAAATGCACGGACAAAGTAGCGTCGATGTACAAGTTCGAATCGTTTCCGAGATGATGAAGCGATGTTTGATGATAACCCAGATTTGTGCTTACGTTCACAGAATACGTGTACACGTAATGAATGTCCTCCTGATATTTAAATTTTCTCTCCAACGGGACTGAAAGAAATAGATCAATGATATATTTTTTGTGTAATTCTAATAAATTATAATTTATATTATTATGTATATTTTTCTTTTACATGATTAATGTATATAAGATATATAAAAAGAACTGTGTGCAACATATAATATTTTTTAAATTTCAGAATACACATATAGACAATTTTTTTCTATCTAATTTTGATTAAATAAAAAGATTTATTTAAGATATAAAATATATATAATTTATTATTTTTTTGAAGAACTATTTAATATCAATTATAATTCACATTGTTAGTATAAAACTAATTTTATGAGCAAAGTATATTTATCGCGTCTAAAAATATTTTTTAGCCACAATAATTTCCGAGATAATTTTCATTTCCTTGTAGTCTGTTATCTATGCAAATACGCATTTGTTTAGAAAATATATAAAGATCATAGTCCTTCACCTCCACAGACGCAACTATGACGTATAGATATATACACAATGATTTCATATTTAAGCAAATAAAGAAAACCGGAGATAAAAATATATGAAAAAATATAGTCAAAATATGATAAATAAAAGTATTAATTAATTTGAATAAATTAAAATTAAAATAAGATTATTATTTAAGCGTATTAGAACAAATTCTAAATAATAATCTTATATTAATTTTAATTTATCAAATTAATTAATACTTTTATTTATCATATTTTGACTATATTTTTTCATATATTTTTATCTCCGGTTTTCTTTATTTGCTTAAATATGAATATATAATATTTGCGCGTGCAACAAATAATGCAATCTAATAATAATCAATAAATTTATTTATATAAAATAAGCTGATTAAGTTCTCAGATTAAAATAAATTGTAAAATAAATTTAATCATATTTAAAAGAGGAGAATAAATAAATATTTTAATGTTAAAAAGATGCAATGATAGCAATTCTTGTAAAAAAAATGTAAGATGAGAGTGAAATAACAGCGGAAACGGATCTTCGTTTCCTCTTTCAATAATACGCCAACGTGGCATGGGATACATGATAAAAATTTCCGAGAATTGTAAAATCAACGGAAAGACAAGAGTAGAAACTTTAATTTACTATATGTGTTTTAGTATATAATATATGTAGAAAATATTAAAATATTACTTTTGCATTTGATTCGGCCACATAGTGCAGGATCCTTATTAATTTCTGGAGACAAAAAAATTAAAAAAGCGTTTAATAATATATAAATATATATTCATTACATTAAAATTTATAATGTTTTATATTATTATATTTTAATTATCTTGATTTAATTTGAAAATTATAACATATGGCTATATATATATATATATATATATATATATATATATATATATATATATTAACAAGTACTCATAAATATTAGACTGTAACTCTTGAAATTAAATTACATATACAAATTTATTTATTGTTAAAATTTTTTTTTAATTTTTAAATTTAAATTGTATACTTTTACTATATATATATATATATATATATATATATATATATATATATATATAATAGTAAACGTATACAATTTAAATTTAAAAATTAAAAAAAAATTTTAACAATAAATAAATTTGTATATGTAATTTAATTTCAAGAGTTACAGTCTAATATTTATGAGTACTTGTTAATATATTTTTCACTGCAATGCTATATCTCTTTTGTGTTGAGTTTTATAATATACACAAAATACTTTTACATTTAAAATAATTACTTCCACAATCCTATATACACAAATGTCAGTTTAATATAACGCGTATATTATATATATTCTTAAACAAAAATATGAAATTTTATGTGCATATATGCAATTATATAATATATTATTATATAAAAATATCTTTATCTTTAAATATATATATATATATATATGCGTAAATGTTTTTGTTTACGCTATTTGAAGACGTCAGCATACATTGCGCTTGATATAACAGGCAAATTAATGAAACACCGGATGTCGCAATAAATATATATATACCGGAAATTGCTGATAATTACCTCCTCGAACGACAGTCAATATTGCGCACGTGAGCGCAAGAAACAATATCGCCTTCATGACTTCCGGTACCAATTCTCCAACCTTATATCGTTTTCCGAAATTCTAAAGAGATCTTTCAAGATCGGCACCTTCCTATCGAAGTCTTCATCCCTCGACGTTAGATATATCAAAATGAATATCTGACACACTGCCTTGTTATCTAGGAGATTATAATATATTTATTAATTAAATACTATCAGAAGAAAATTTTTCGATAAGCAATTTTGAAGCACTGATCACTATAAATTTTTATTCTCCTTTCTTTTAATTTTTTTTCTCTCGTTCTCTCTTTTCTTTTTCACTTCACACTATACGCGTTTCACTTGAATCTATGAAAATTTGAAAATTTACGGAGAAATTGATCGATAGAAAGTCTTGATATTCGCGGCTGAGCTCTTTCTCTCATGTGACAAAAATATCCGCGATAACCACCCGAGATGATAAACCGGGGTGCGGATTGGCGACTTGATTGAAGATGAAAACGGAGGTAGAGAGAATGTATGTGGCGTCCACACCACGTGCAGCTAAATAAGTGTTTCCGTTGCTGGCTGATCGGAGAATGGCCGAGGGAGAGGATCAGATGTTAAAGGTCTCCCAATATGCTTTTTGTGTTTACACAGGGGTCAGAGGTCTCCTCGGTCTTTGATAAGATAGCGGCTCGCACCAAGATCCTAGAGAGACTAAAAGTATATATGTCTCTGCGCGAAGAAATGTGTATAAAAATGCAACATGAATGCATCACACATATATATATATATATATATATATATATATATATATGTGTATATATATGCTGGACTCCACATATGGTGTCCACATGGAATTACGGTTTCAAATTATTTAGCTGAGCTTATACATACTATAGCTGCATATGGAAAGAGGATGAAGTATTTATCTCTATTTATCTCGTCTATTTAGAGAAGAGAACGAGAGATATTTTTTGGGACACATTTTAAATAGTTTTTATGCGTTTTCGTTAATATTCAAAGTGTGAACAGCAGAGAACGAGAGAAAAATTATACTTGTTAATAAAGAAAAGAAAAAAAACAAATGCGAAAAGTTATATAATAAATATACAGCTAAATTAGAGTTATGTATATCTCAAAACTATATAATAGATAAAATCAAAATAATTTTTTCTAAATATTTTTTTATAAAAATATATGCGTGGGAAAGAAGAAAGAGCAGCGAAAGCAAGAAAGAGAGAACGAAAATTTTAATAATCTTAATAAAATTAAGATTACACGATATCGATCATCCGTTCGGAGCAGCTTAAACAATTTTATCATACACAATTCATATATATAATATATTTGATATAATATTTAATGTTTATATTATATATACAATTAAAAGTGTGTACATGAAAAGACAGAGATAGATATCTATATACTAACTAAAAGATGAATTAGACATCAAATTCTTGTATGGATCATTAACAAAGTAAGCGTCTAATTCAAACAACTTTAAATGAATGATAATAATAGCGACCCAATTTTCATTGAACCATGTACTTTCAGCGAAAAATACATTCAAATAAGGACAAACTAAACAACTTACATCCGCTCCCATAAACGATATCGTTGCATATCATCTTGCCGTTATCATATTGCCAACCTAAAAAATCCGCTCCGACACCACTCTCCTAAGGACGCGTTCGAAAATGCTCTCCGTAGGGTGGAGCGCCTTCGAGTCGACCAATCAGTGCAAAGAGATCCCTCTTCCGATTGGTCGGTCAGACGTCACTCGACGCGTCAAATTTTTGAACACACCCTCGCGCATGCGCAAGACGGCTTGGTTCGCATATGGCGGGTGGCGTCATGTTGTTTGTATTTACGGGAAAAATCTCAGCCGGAGAATATGCCGTCGTCGACTAATTTCGCCTAAGGAGAGGTTCTTCGTCGCGAAACCGATGGTCATCAACGATCGGCGACGTCCCGTCGAGTACGGGACGCGTCATGACACGTCGGCGCTGTCAGCCGGCTTCGGCCAGCACATTGAGGTTGGTTTTTTGAATTCGCACCGTTTGCGCCGTCTCCGTTTGGCGGTTGTTGCGACGACGCGTGTACCAAATGTCATGCTTCTTTTCAGGAGTACGAGGTGCTGAATCTCCTCGGCAAGGGCGGTTACGGGAGCGTTTACCGAGCGAAATGTCTCTGCAGCGGCATGGAAGTCGCGATCAAAATGGTGATTTGTTTACTCCCGAAATCTTTCATGCAAAATCGAGGAATTTTCTTCCTCCTACACGATCTAAAAACACGTGTTGCTCCAATTACGTCTGACTATCGAATCTGCGTATTTGATTCAAATTCATGTAGTTGATGTAGTTTTGAAATTTGGAATACACTTTGCAATCTTAGAAAAAATGTTAAATATTGGACAAATTATTTAGACCAATATTTTTCAGATCATGATATAGTTTTATAATTTATTTTATTATTATAAATTATGGGGAGACACGATTTATGATTATTATTATGAAATTTTTTGTATCATTGTTTTAATATAAATAATTACATATCTATGTTGCTTCTTTATACTTACTTGTCTCTGCAGATCGACAAGAAAATGATGCACGCTGCTGGGATGGTGGATAGAGTAAATCAGGAAGTGGGAATACATTCACGATTAAAACATCCAGCTATATTAGAGTTGTACACATGTTTTGAAGATGCAAACTATGTGTACTTGATATTAGAATTATGTCACAATGGGGAACTTCAACGTTTTCTCAAAGCACAGGGTGCCAAAGCTTTACCCGAAGAACATGGTACACAAATATATAATTTATATATATGCAAGGGAGATAATATATATACTATTATAATATAATATAATAATATAATTTAATATAATATAAATTCTTAATTATAAATGATCTCTACTGTTTTAGCTGCTCGTATAATTAGACAAGTTGTACAAGGTTTACTTTATCTTCATTCCCATCAGATACTGCACAGAGATATGTCACTGTCTAATTTACTTTTGACGAAAGATATGCAAGTGGTATGTAAAAAAAAAAAAAAAAATATATATATATATATTATAGTTTTTAAAGATAAAAAATAATTTTTTTAATTTGATTTTGTATGCTCATAGAAAATAGCGGATTTCGGGTTAGCTACGCAATTAAGTAAACCAGATGAAAAGCATTTGACTATGTGTGGCACTCCCAACTACATTTCTCCTGAAGTATGTACTGTTGCAGAATTGTTAGATTACAAAATTATGCTAGATTGTGATGTTATAAAAATGTTTAGGTTGCTACGAGATCTTCCCATGGACCAGAAGCGGATGTATGGAGTTTGGGATGTATGTTATATACTTTATTAGTCGGTAAACCACCGTTCGACACCGATGCAGTTAAGAGCACTTTAACGCGAGTAGTAATGGCTGATTATGTGATGCCGCCTTATTTGTCGGACAATGCAAAAGATTTGATAGATAAATTACTGAAAAAAAATCCGAAAGACAGGATATCCCTACGAGATATTCACAAACATCCATTTATAATGAATATAGAAAGAAGTAAACTATATAATGTAAGTGATGCAAGATAAAATTTAACATATATCAAGTAATTTAAATATTATTATATAATGAGAATATTAATGATATTAAATCAAGTTCATAAAAAATAGTGATATAATAGCCACTTTTATTTTTGCAGGAAAGAAATGGCATGGGAAGTAAAGATTTTTTAACTGATGGTATGATTGATTCCGGGCTAGGTAGGACCCTGTCCTCGTATGGCCGATCGAAAATGCGAGCTCGTTCAGAGGAAAGAACATCCACGACCCCGATAATGCCTATGCTCAGTGTGAGAAGCGAGGCGTTGTCTGAACCTATTACAAAAATGCAATCAAATTATAAAGCGAGATACAAGAATTATAACACAAAAGAAGATTCTGTGTTAGTAGGTGTTCCAATATCTCGCAGTAGAGTGTTTTCGCAAAACGATAAGTACAATGAGTATGATAATTTTGAGAGGCAAAAAATGACTGAAAGACATAATAACCCAAGAAAAGAAAAGAGTGCGGAAAATCATAATGTAGAAGAGGAGAGTGCAAAGTTACAAGTACCTCCCTTGAATACCAACAGATTACAACCTACTAGGCACAGAACAAACAACGCGATTTTTACGATTCTAGACCATGGAGAAGTATGCATCGAGTTTATGAGACGTAAAAATGGCAAGGTATGTATAAAAAATGAAACAATTTAAAAATCCTAATAAAAATGAAAATACATTATTCTAAAAAAGGATAATACAGATGTATATAATAAATTGTAAAAGTATAAAAGAATAAAATTGTATATAATTTCGATATTAATTTTCGTAGGAAAAAATCAATGATGTGTGCAGAATATCAGGTGATGGTCTACGAGTCGTTCTCTACAAACCTAGTGTGGTTACAGAAGTAGGCTTGCAGCCACCACCATTGCCCAGCCGTGGTGCTGATAGTATTTATTCCTATGAGAATTTACCAGCGTGTCATCATCGAAAATACATATACGCTTTCCGTTTTGTAAAATTGGTTCAAGGGAAAACTCCAAAGTTAACACTATATACTCAACGTGCAAAGAGTGTCTTCATGGAGAATGGTCCACAGCCTGATTGTGAAGTTCATTTTTACAATGGAGTAAAGGTACACACAGTTATTGATTTTTACGCATTACGTATGTATTTTATGATATCAAACAAATATTATAATATCATAATTTTAATATTATGTAATTTAATAATTTAATTTTTTTCTGTCTTTATCTTATTTATATAAATATTTTAGATTGATCGAATAAATGACGTTGTGAAGATCACCGACAGCGGTGATACATTTGTTGAGGGTGAAATTCCGCCGCATCTCGAAACCTATTTCGAGCATTACTCGGAGTGCTACAAACGTTGCTTACTACTGGAATCTACTTTGACATCTTTAGAAACAGCCACTGGACATCCTTGTTTTCCCGTAATAATTGGACGAAAGCCTTGCACAGTCCTGAATAATTCTCCCTATTTGCAGGACAAAGAAAATATGCATACTAATAGGAATATTTCTCCCATTGTAAGTAGCGAGGAATTTCTAAATTGTTTTTATTGTAATTATTAATATATATTTCTTCTACTAAGTAATATTATATCATTCAGTTGCCGTCATTCGATGGTAGCTGCTCCATCGTTTCGACAGTGGCTTCTAAATCACGCAAGATAAATTCCGCGCATAGTTTTAATAATGCAAATAAAGTAAGTGTGCCAGGAATTGGTTTTGCCACCACATTATCATCCGGTGATATCCGGGTTGATTACAAGGACGGATCCGCTTTAACTGTGAGTCTTAATAATAATTCATTAAATAGTTTTTTTATTATTATATTCACAATGTCACCGCTTAATCTATAATCATGCTTTATTACAGGTAAGTCCGCAAAATCATAATAGCATTATATACGAAAGTAAAGATGGCATTGTTATGCGATATAATAAGCATCACCAACAAAATCTGGATACATCGGTCCACGAGAAACTTCTTCAATTACCAAGGATTGTTCAGTTTCTCATGGGACCAAGGCACAAATGTATTCGGTAACTCTAATCAAAAATATTGAATGTTGTATAATACGATTGAAAAATCACTCTGACATGGACTGTAAGCTTATATAGATTATATATTATATTATAGATTGATATAAATAGCTTATACAAATCTAAACATAGATTAATGAATATTTTCCAAGTAAACAATAATAATAAAGAATCGCTTATATATATATATGTATATATATATATCTATGATGCACTCTTAATTCGAGCTTTATTATTGTGTGCATAAAGATATTTTAACATATTTTAATATTCATTTTTCTATTAAAAATCAATCATCAAAACAGATGAGAGAATTCGATCAAGGAAATATTTTTTTCAAATTGATTTTTTTTTATAGATAGCAGAGGAGAAAAGCTGTAAATACTATTAAGAGAAATTTAAGAGTAATTCTTATAAATGGAATTTAAATAATTGAACATTTTTCCACATTATGTGTAATATATAAAGAAAAGTTTTTAAATTCTTGCGGTATCTGCTGCTACTCAAAATAAATTATACAGGTATATTTATTATTTTTATTGAAAACGTTATTTTGACGTAATTTGCTTTGTTTTATCTTTATATACTGAATGGCAATAAGAAGCAAATTTACAATAAATTAAATAATAAAGTATCTATAAAAAGAAAATAGATAAGTGCCAATTTTCATAAAACTTATAAATCTTTCATCGGAGAGAGACTGTGTTCCCATATGAATCTAATAATTTGTTCTCATTCATACATATTTAAAGTATTATTAACAACTTGTGAAAATTGAATTGGAAAAATGTTGTGCTATGCACTTTCTCGAAATCGATTGAAGGAACGATGCCGTTCACTGTAAAGCACTTCAATTGAATCGAGGTCATAGTCGGTCATTCCCGTCAACCTACTCCATTGAAGGGAATTGTTTTTGATGAAGCGTTTACTACTACGGCGCGCCCTACAATCTCTCGCGAGGCCAACGATCCCATTCATCATTCGCTCCTCGGGTGGACCGCCATCGTAAGCGCGTTACGCGACGCCATATTGAACGCCGTTTTCTGGTCGGTACCCCGCGGAAGGTGGAAGTCGTCGCATCGCTTTTTCCCCAAACTTTTGACATTTCGCGCGCGCGCGCGCGCGTCTGACAAGCTCGAAAATCTTGGTGCGAGAAATTATTCGTGGAATCTCCCTAAAAGCTCACACAGGTGGTTGATTACGTCAGAGGGGAGGAGGGGTACTATTTCGAGGGGTAGGTGTTTGTGACAGGCAGTAAACAAGCGAAATTTGACGTTTCAAATTTTTCCGATTTTTCCAAATAGAAATTAAACATAAAAAATTCGTCGAATCTTTTAATTTTAATTTACTTGGATTAATTAAATTATTTATTATATTCAGTTTTCGAGAGTCGAGTTCTCTTTCTTTCTTCTTTTCTTTTATGATCGGTTATTTCGAGATCGTGATGTCCTTCGCTGTTATGGCTGGGGGACGCGTTAATTGCCGCAATTAATTAACGAGAAACTGTAATCCCGCAGATTCCACAAACGGGCGCTGCCCATTCTTCATTCGAGCGTTCCTAACCTCAAACAGAGGGAACTGGACGCGAACCGAATATGGGTAAGTTTATCGCAAAAATTTCGCGCGATTCCCTTTTCTTCATTTTTTCCCTCTTCTTGTTATAAGTAAATCTTTTCTCGTAAATTATACATTGTGGAATTCGAGGAGGATATATATATATATATGAGCGTTGTACTGACAACACAATTCCATATACAGTCGTAAACATTATTAAAGCTAACAATAAGTGCTTAGCTAATTTGATGTAGTACAAATTATAATCAATATTTAATAAAAATTGGTTCAAGAATTGATTTAGAATTGTGTCCCAAAATGTCTTCTCGAAAATTTTACTCCGAAAGGACGTTTCGGTTAAGTGAAGTAATTGTAGATGTCAACAATAATAAATGCGTCACGCGTCAATTATTTCTGTTCCAAGGCGAAAGTTAGTTTACGATGCGCGTTTACGCTATCGAGTTTATGAATGAACCAAGATATACATATATATTATGTACACTTATACATGTACATTGTGTTATGTGTTATCTTGTAGATAAGTAATGATTAGTCATCGTCGATTGACTTGTTAGTCATTGATCGAGCTTCGCGTTTAACCTCATGATCTTTATTTATCTCTATTCTGTCGCCTGTTGCAATTAGTATAATAATATTAAAATGGTGAAATTGCGTGAATTACGTCAGACCAGAGAGAGTTTACCATTGCGGAGACAATTTGCGAGCAATATAAGTGTAGACAGATTTTCTGAGCGTAGTCTTCATGGTCTTCATTCGAACGAACGAACATTTCGTAAGTGTTTGAAATACCATTCGAATATGAGACTAAATCATACAAATACGATCGTATTTTGCTGTAAGAAATATAGACTCAACAAATATTGCGGCATTTTTATAATAGTGTCTCAACACTGCATCATTTTTTTATACATACAATTTATAAATGTGTGTATTTTTGTAGTTTCAAAATTATAATTTACTTCAATTATACACATAAATACATCATTTTTTGTAATAAATAAATATTTGACATGATATTTCTTTGTTTAGGGACCGTATGCAATGATTGCATGGCCAGGGTGCCGTACGCAACTCTCATAGCGACTATAATGTGTTGCTTAGGTGTTGGAATCTTCTGTGGTACCATGTACAGAGGTGCAACATTGTGTTCTCTTATGATGGATCAGGTAAATTTTGTTAATTTAATGTTTTAAAAATGTTTTAAAGATTCTATATATCTCAAACTACAAAATTGATTAAGGTGTTTCATCTGCGTCTCGGATGGTTAGAAGCAGTGCAATTGGTGTTTGCATCGATTGGAGCTTGTATGGCAGCTTTAGGATTTATGATTTTGTGCGTCGGTTGTCTTGCAACTGGTGCTACGAGGCACAAAGTCTACCGAGCTTGGAGATCCAGAGTGGGTGGACGTATCTCTTGTGCTGTCGTATGTATCTAGAATATGAAAACTTTACAGCTAGTAGCAGTTATTCCCATTACATTATTTTAATATATACATTTTTATTTTTTCAGTTTATGACTATCATTTATATCTTGCAAATAGCTTGGCTTCTGATATTTGCATTTCTTATAATCATAACTCTGATTTTCACTATATTCTGGGGCCTGTGCAGCAATCCACGTGTTCAATCTCTCGATGAGTGCATTAATTTCACCCAATTCAGTAGGTTTTTTTATACATGTTAATCAATCTATAGACGATTTGGAATTAGAACGTTTATATATATTTATTTCCTTTGTAACAAATATTTATTTATATGTATTTATAATAAATATTTATTATTATTTTATACAAAATTGATAAGTACTAAGCAATTGCATACAATTTTAGGCTTCTTATTTCCAAACAACACACGAGTGCAGGACATGCAAGTGTGTGGACCTCAGGAGGTCAAACTATTCTGCAAGGATTTTGTAGAAAAGGCCGAAGTGATGTTTATACTGGCAACTGTAGCATCCATACTGGTTATACTAAGCCTAATACACTATCTGATGTGTTTATCTGCCAACTACGCACACATACGAGATCATGAGAAGTTCCAGGAGCTGCAGGAATTGCAATATTTGCAAGACGCGATCGATCCGGACTCTCCTCAACCAGGAATGGGTACTCTGGGTTCTCATCGTAGTCAAGATAGGTTCTAGGACACGGCCCGCGAGATCTTCGTCATGAATCCTTTGTAAGGGGCTTACTGTTCTCTAGGACATGTAAGGAACCCTTATGCCTGATTGGAAATCTCTTCCAGGTATCACTTCCTCTTCTCTATGTACCTAAATTCGGTATTCTGCTTATTGCGGTGTATCTGTCACCGTTACGGTAGTCTACTGATCCGAGGATCTTGCGGGAACCAACTCTATGCCGTCCATTTTATCTACGACTGTCGTATATAAATATTTACTTTGTTTTTTATATAAAAAAAAAGATGTTTATTAGAATACGTACCAATTTGTAGTACGTAATATTTTTCTCTTTAGCGTGGATTGTTCGAATTCAAATGGGAATCATTCGCCGAATTTCAATCTAGCATGTAAATTATACGTGTACGATAATATCATTACGTAAACTCGTACTCATAGGAAAAAGTATTTGAAATTTGGCGTTTGTGATTATAGCGCACAGAGATTTTTTTCTTCGATTGTATTGTTATATTTCGTTTCGTGTATGCACAAATGCGCTTCATGTAATTTGTCTAATAGTATCACAAGTATTAAGCTGATATTACGTTTATATGACAAGATATTTGTTAGATTCGATAGGCTATCAGAGAGATAAAGAATTCTTACAATTAAATAAAAAATTTAAAAATTCTTTATTCGATATCTAATCGCTGTTCAACAAACTTGTCATATAACCTAATATCACCCTTACAAAGAAGTATTCACGATTTCAAATTACTCTAATATTTCGGTTTTAGGGTTAGTCATTCTCGGACTGTGTATACCGCGCCTATTGTCTTCATTATTGAGATTTTTTTACGAAAGAGATTTCTTTTTTTATATACGTATATATACATTTACACAGTAGGCAACTAAGCATATACACATATATATTTTCGTTACATTCCGGATATTTAAAGCATGTTGGAAAAATTTAAATTAATAGAATAACAATAAGAAAGATATGGTTATTTTAATAACTTTTATCGTTAGTTACATTTGTAAGATGTAACGCTTAGAAATATAACTAGTAATAAGAGTTGCTGAAAGAATCTTTTTCAATTCAAAATTATAAAATAACAATGATTGTGTATATTGTATTGTTCTAAATATGATTGTTGCTTAAATTTTCATTAAATATTTTTCCAACATGCTTGTTAAGGTATATTACATTATGGAATCAAAAAGAGAGCGTTTTTCATATTAAACAGTTTTTCATAAAAATTAAATTTTACAAAAAAATATAACATTGCACACAAAAAATATCTACGTTCATAGACTATTTCTTACATATATGTATAATATTGAATTGTTGTGGAGAGTAATATATATTTTTTCCAAATTTTGAAAAAAATTTGCGATTGAATTATTAGAACAAGAGAAGCAAACTGAATTCTGCTATATACATTATTTGTGCCAAAAGATTTTTGGCTTTAAAAAATCTATGGCCTATGTGTATAACTATTGTTGTGACAACTAAAAATCTATACAATCGAGTTTAACTCGTTATATATTACTTGCTCAAATTTTTCATTCCATTCAAATAATCGATTTTTTTCCGTAAAATTCATACAACTATCTGATAAAAAATTTTGTTTTACAAATTAAAATTGCATTTCTTTATTTACAGTAATTTCTAAATAACTTTATTACATAGCTGATAAATAAAATTGTACATATCATGACAATTTTGCATTTGGAAAAATTTAAAACAAAGGATTACGTACAAAAAAAAAATAGGTAAGACTAAAATGGCACATAAAATTTTTTTTTTTTTTTTTAAAGAAAAGAGTAATCTATTGTTAGAGGCCGAAAAAGCTATATACGTTCGAAAGCTGTATGATGCTTTCTCGTTCAGAATTAATTACTATGTATATTCTATTATTAATGAATAAAAAAATATTTCACATTTACATAAAGTATATTGGATTTTAAAACTGTCGTATGTAGCTTTGGTATGTAATTTTTCATTTTATGTAATTTATATAATATTTATGGTAGACAAAGTATGTACAGTGATCATTAATTACATATTTTATACAATTTTTTCTTCTTTACACAATGTTCAATCCTCGTCAAACTGGAGGTCCAGCTCTAGATCGAGAGCACTGACTTCTTGGAGGGTATTGATAAACGTATATCGTGAAAAAATCATGTACAATTTTCGAAACCAGACATACTGGGACTTGTGTGCAGCCATAGCACTCTATAAAAATGTTGAAAATATTATATAAATTATATAAAAAATTAATCATTTTTCTTCAACAAATTAGAATGCTCTAACTTACTTTGATTATTCGTTTTTGTTCATATGTCACCAAATACCAATACGAGGCTGAGAGTAGACTGATGGGTAAATCTAAGAGTTGAATGTACTTCCTGATTATATTAACAGATTCTAACACATACAGTTTACAGTCTGGAATAGAATTGCATTTATTACACATTAGTTTAGTACATTTGTATATTAATTCAGTAAATTAATACTTACAAGGAGGTACTTTTTTCTCTATGCACAATGTGGCAATTGCAAAATACAAAGAGATGTGATTTTTATGCCGACTGACTCCATATTTATCGAATGTCACGACAGCATTGATTTTGTACATTTCTATATATTGCAAGATACTTTCCGCAACTGTATCTACTGGCCATTGTACACTTTGATCATCTGGTAACTCGCTACTCCTGCACATTTATTTGTCGAACTATTATTCAGAAGATAAATATTTTTATTTCATCACCTTCATTGTGCGTATTTAATGCTAAATAAAATTATTCAAGTTTGAAAATTATTAAACAAGTATATTCGGCATTAAATATGCAATTAGATTAAAGATTTTACATTCTTTTGAAGATATATAAATATTTTTGAAATGTATGTTTACAGATGACATGTGAAGTGCACTCACATAATAATCGTCACATTCGCCTCCGGGATTCCCAATACCTTTGTACATTCCCAGAGCTCGTCTATCCTTCTTTTGTCACCACCTGCAAGCACACTGGTAAACATCAATAGACATTTGCTTGACATTTAATCTGATTATTCCTGTCAGAATCATCGTTCGATTCTAGATGACAGTCCGCTGAAGACATGTACCCATGGATAAGCACAACAAGTAGATCTCGCTGGCCTTGGAGCGCGTTACCCAGTAGAGCAGCGGTCCGAAGAACATCACCTCGTCGTCCGGATGAGCTGTCACCAGGAGAAGCCTACCAGGTGGACCAGGTAATTGCCAGGCCGCGTGGCCCACTTTCTTAAGAACTGTATAGAGGAAGACACAGACACAGAGATACGCCAGCAGAGCGATCAGCAGCTGCCACGAGATCTCCCTCAGGTAGTACCACCACCAGCAGACCACCTCGTTGATCTGCAGGCTGAGGTACTGCCGCGCGTACTCCAGATCGCCCATCATTCTGGTCGACGATGGTCGACGCGAAGTCACGATTTATCACGGACCAGCCATGTAGCTTCAAGGACGAGGACTATTGTCCACAAACGAGAACGCGGATCCCCATCGTAGCCGGAGCGATCGAGTTTTCAGGTTATGTCACTCCAGCACGTATGACGTTGGCTTATATATCGCACTTCGATACCAACTTATCGACCTCTCGAAATTTACTCGGCTATATTCATTCCGTTGTTTTGCCGTTCCTTGGATTTTCTTTCGTATATAAATTGTATGTTACGTTTCTAAGAATTTTTCTAAATATTTCTAAATAGAAAGAGAGATATTATTGTAATTGTCAATTTTGATTGATTGATATACAATTTATCTACGTCAATGAATCGAATATTGCTTTGGTAATTGAACGTCGTGCATATTATTGAGACAAACTGCTATAGGTTATGTTATTGTGCGGAAGGTAATTGGAAAATTGGAAATTTCGAGATAATGAATAATCAGGAAGAGATAGACCTGTATCGGGATACATATGTGAGATATTTAGGTTAGCAACAAACATATTATTAAGCAATATTATTACAATTTTCTGTCATGTTTTTCTTATATATGTGTTTTATAGTTCTATAAAAGATCAGTATAAATATATTGGATATTTGCAAGAAAATGTACGATATAACACAATAACTATAGTAAAATTAAATAATATACATTTTAAGAACATTCTGTTAAAAAACTAACATGAACATGTTAAAAACATTCTATTAAAAAACGTTTTATTTAAAAATGTTTATAAGCTAACAAAGTATTTGTTTTTTTTTAGGTTATGCAAATGAAGTTGGAGAGGCATTTAGAAGCTTAGTACCAAAATCTATTGTTTGGTTTAGTTATGCTCTGTCAAGTGGATATGTTCTTGCGGACACAGTGCATAAGGGTGCAAAAGTCTACAAAGTATGATATAGATCTTAGCAGTTTAAATACATAAAAATAATTATAAGAAAATAATTAACAAGTTATTATATTGCAGGCAGATGCTACTTCGCAAAGAACTAAAAATGTTTTACTATCCACATCAGATACTTTGATATGGCAGACATTTGCATCCATAATAGTTCCTGGTTTTACTATAAATAGAATTTGCGCAGCAGTTCAGTTTGCGCAAAGAAAAAGCACAAGAACAGCCTTCAAAAAGCCTTGGATTTCAACACTTATTGGTTTGGTATCCATACCTTTCATAATACATCCCATAGACCACGCTGTAGAAAGAGCAATGGATGTTACGTACAGAAAATGGACAGGATACCATCCAAAAGCGCCTCTATGTGGAATGAAACATGAATAATGGAGTGTAGCCAATTAAAGGTATAGTATATTATTAATCTGAGAGAGGTCATGCTTAAAATAATGATTTAATGGATATATAGAAAAATGTTTCACTTTTGACACAAGATGAAAGGCCTTAATAACAATACACAAATATAATTATAATTTTTCATAATCTTTATTATCGAAGGATATATAATAATGATCAATATAATCTGAAAGTTTACAATTAAAAGTTTTAAAATTAAAGTTAAAATTGAAAGTTTGACAATTATTAATTAAAATTTTTTTATAATGATATATGAAATAAAAGAATCATAATCTGAATGAGCTTTATCAAACAAAAAGCGTAACAATAAAATAAGAAATATTAACCTATAATATTATAAGAAGCTTCAAAGAAGCTTTATTAAAATTGAAATCTATATTACATCATTCTAGAAAAACAAGGCTAATCTGAATTTTCGCGACCTCTTGATATAGATATAGCAAAATGTTACTGCCATGTGCAATTCTAAGATAGTATAACAATGTAATTAGAATATTTTATTAATTGCAAAAATACTAAATATTTTGTTATGATGCACATATTATACAGCTGTATGTGCATTAAGATTTTTAGCGCGCTGGCTTTCGTGCTACAATTGTTAAGCTGTTAAATAAAATTATTGTATTCTACATTCCCTGCATATCCTGCAACTGTTATTTTGACTGTATATGATTATACAGATTATATACATATATATATATATATATATATATATATATATATGTATATATATTTTTAATATTGAATTATATCTATAATTATATGTATATATCTTTTTGAATTAATATTTTCTACAAAAAGCATATTAATGCATATTATGTTCTTTCTATATTTTTTACTAAATTATTTATAAATATTAAAATATAATAATTTGTGTGTCTCTTGATAGAAAATTGACAAATTAGTAAGAAGAGATTGTGATAATGAAGAAATTTAAATAGGTTTTCGTGAAATAATAATAGTTAGATACGACGAAAGGTTTTATATGGCTTTCAACAATTAATAATAGCACGATATAGGTACATTCATAAAAATGTATAATGAAAAAAATATCACGTTGTGGAGGCTTTATAATTATACCCAAGTAGCGCTGATTGCGAGATTTTATCTTTTTGTACTTACACATTTTCCTTGCTATCGCGACTAAATCTGAAATACGCATTCATGATAAATGAGATTATAATCGATATACATATATGTTTAATAGTGATTCGACCAAGTTCCGCATTAAGACATCAATGAGACCGACTATAAGTGTTTCATTAAAGTGCAACTTTCGATCAAAGATAACATGAATTTTCCGTAAAAGAATTAACAATTTAAGAACATACAGGATTGGCGTGTATATCTATTTTATAAAATTGAAATTTTAATTGAAATTCTAATTCTAAAATGAAATCAAGGCTCATCTATAAAAAATCTTAGATTTTTTTGCATTTTCTTATATTCGCAATATTTTTTTTAATCTTTTTTACAGAAATAGATTTTATTCAAATATTATTATAATATGCTTTCGCAAATTTTTTAAAATCTTTGCTTTCTGACAAGTAAATTACATTATTATATTATTAATTTATAAATATAAAAATTAATAATATAATGTAATTACTTTTATCAGAAAACAAAGATAAATTTAATTTAATAATACATTGTTATTAATAGATTAATAAATATTAATATATATTATTATCATTAATATATTATTAATAGATTAATAAAATTCCATAAATATATTTTCCCAATCAAAATAAAAGTACAGTAAGAAATTTTAAATGATATTGATTAATTATTTCAAAAAAAGTTATTAAATATTTGAAGTATAAAATTTATTTTTATTTTGATGGGAAAGTATATTTATATATGTAAAATTTTATTAATCTATTAATAATATTTACTAATATTTATTAATAATAATACATTATTCAGTTAAATTTTTCTAAATCTGCGAGTTGATAATCGCTGATATAATAATAGTAAAGAATAATCTAAAGAATTTAGCATTTTTCCTATACATATGTATTTAATTGTTGTTGAGAAATAATACGAAGCGCTTGCGACGCTTTTTACTCGTTTGAAAATTACCGCGCGCGCCAAATTTTTGTGACGTAAGCGCGCTGTTTACATACGGCGGGCTTCGTAGCATTCGCGTGGCGAGACTCGTACGGGCAGGTAGTGGCGCGAGGCGCTCTGTGTGTCGCATTATCTCTCGAAATACGATCGCGATACCAGAAAATATTAAACGCAATTATATTCTACGAACAATTAATATTTACAAGACCGCGTAATTAACTTCTTTGTGATAAACAAATCGTGAAGGTAAGCTTTATGCAAGCAAGTATTTCGCATCGTACAAGGCTTGTTTTTTATTCCTCTGCACTGGCTAAACTGTGCACATACTGGTGTAATAAGTTAAAGTGAGATAAAATATACTTGTCTCATTCTAACTTATTGCACCAGTATATACTAATTCATCAGTGCATCTTCAGCTATTAATTGATTAATTAATAGAACGATATTCGCGAGATTTGATCGAAATTCGATCGCGCGAGCAATCAATAAAACGATGTTATACTTAATATTCCGAAATGTTTACATCATCAATTTTAATTTGTATACATTTGCATATATTATAATACGAGATAATGCGATATATATAAACGTCTTTTTCAACGCGAATGTATATCACGTAGTACGTCATTCAAGGTGCGGAAGGTGTACGAAAAGTGCAACTATGGCGGAGCAACGAGTAGAATAAAGTTAGCCGCGTATTTTCGCGTAATTTTCTTCCGCCATTATAGATTTGCGTTAATTGCCAGACGTTACGGTATCAAGCGTGTCGTAATTTTGTGCGGTCGTAGTTTTTTTCTTTCGTTACGAAATGCAATAAAATTTGAGTGACATTGTACCGGGTCGTGCCGCGCCGCGCCAAGTACAACGTGATCGTGATATTTTGATAATGTATGCATATATAATTATGTTTTCGCGAGTGCATCGAAGAACAATAGAGCAGCAATGTGCGCCAAACATCTTCGAGTCGAGTAAAATTTACGTAAGTCTTTTACATTTAGCAAAAATGTTTGACGTTTTCGAATAAGAATGTCGTATAAGCATATAAGCAAATAATTACATGGTAATATTACTATATTTAATTAATATTATTATATATAGGTTATATGTATATGTAAACAGTTATTTTTCTCGATTATTCTCACTGTCCATAATTCAAAGTATATTATCAAATTTCAGAAAAATAATACATTCATATTTATATTGAATTTGTATTTTGAAAGATGCATGTGAGAAAAGAAACGGAAAGAGAGAAAATATTTCGCGCGCGATATTCAATGCGGGTGTCTGCGAGTTCAGTTTTTAAAGCGCGCGTTGTTTAATTAATAATAATTAATCCTTTCTACTATTTTTCCGTATTTTTTTCCTTTCAAGTTTACGCGAAATTATGCGGGGCGCGCGCCTAAAGAATTTCGTAGTTAGAATTATACGATTATATCGGCGATAATATATATCGGCCTGTAATCGTATAATTCTAACTACGCGATTACGGGCGCAGCTCGACCGTAAATGAGGTAGCCAGCTCTAGCCGTAAAGTTTTAACCGCGCTAATAACGCAGCCCTTACTATAAATACCCGCGCCGCGCGCGACTAAACTATAATACCCTCCGGGCGTGCAATTGCAATGAAGTCGTTCGTCCGTTCTCGCGAACACGGTGATCGTAAATATCGTCGAATAGACGGAAGCCCGCGATAATCCCCGCAATAAATAGTCAGTTATGACCGTGTCTTAGAAGCGACCACGGTCACGTTTTCCGTTGTCGAAAATACATCGTGTACTCTTTCATCGTCTTCCTTTCTTTCTTTCTTTCGAGAGAGAGATTGATTGTCCGCCTATTAAATTGTATTAATCCCTTGTCTTTTTACATTGATATGATAGAAAAATTGCATAAGAATCATCATGCAGCACAAACATCGCACATTATTGAAAAAAAATGTGTTAACTTGACAAAATCTTTCAATTAAATTATTATTTTGTTAATTGAACATATACTTAATATGATACATTTTGTTATATTTAATATATTTAAATATGATTTAAATATTTTTATATGTTCAATTAACAAAGTAATATTTAGTTGAAAGGTTCAGTCAAGTTAACAAGTTTTTTTTCATATACAGAGACGTTTTATCACAAATTGCAAATAAATATATTGCATTGTTGTTGTATTAATATATATTGTGTAATATTTTTGCATTGTTTATTTTGTATGTTACTGCAATATTACTGAATCTGCTCTATTTAAATCTCATAATTTTTGGAAAATTATTTTATAAAGCTTTAAACAGTGAGTTTTTAATTGTGACATGATTTTTAATCACAATCACTCTCTGTCACTGTAAAATTAAATCAATTGTGATATTAAGATTTTTGAAATTTGTTAGATCTTATCTCATAAGCGTGATACATTTATCATAAACATTTTTGACATTTACATATTTTTTATTTTGATCGACATCATAATTAGTTTCCAATCGAACAAAAATGACAATATAATAATCAATGATAATATATTTGTGTTCTGTTGTTACGAATTGACATGTTTAATTGGCGAGCAATTTTTTTATGGCAGCCTATATATACATAATAATCTCAATTAACTTCTCGATAATCTGTCGACCCTCGTAATAAACTTAACCGAGTGCAACAATATAATTTATAGAAGTCACTTCTTTACGACTAATTATGATGAACTACGATCGTACGAAAGAGAACCCATTAAATCGCGCTGATCCTCATTAAGAGGAGACGAAACGCGCGAGGGAAGCGAAGACTATACCCACCGACTTATCTTCGATTCACGTGGTCCTATTTCACGTGAAATATCTTCCGGATATACTATTTTATATTACGAATATATCTTATGATGTTTTTCTTAACCATTTGTGATCTGACTTTTAAATCTTGTTAAATTTTTTTCTTTAATGATTAAATTTTTTCCTTATAATTAATAAAATAGGAAATAAATATACGACCTCGCCGAAAGTATATAGCAGGCATTCTTAATTGCAATGACATTAAACAAAATAGAATTGTGAAATAAAAAACAATAGTTGTCAAAATTTCATTAGTTATTTTAAGAAAGAATTCAATATTGACAACTATTGTTTTTTATTTTACAATTCTATTTGTTTAATTGTTATTGCAATTAATTGCTTTATATATTTTATCAAGATTGTATATAATAACGAATAAAAATTTTGATAATTAACTTGATAAATAGAATAAAAATTTAATCTTTATTTGAAAGGAAAATAAAACAAATATACAGGTTGTAATTCACATAACAAAGTATTTAAAAATTTACTGAATAATTGATTAAATTAAACGATTTTGGGGGAAAATAAACACTCACAGTTTGACTATCGATTTTGTGATTCGTCTCGTGAAAGGAAGCTGTCGCAGCAACAGCATTTGGCCACTCGGTTAATAGCACGTGGAGTCCTTTAATCGATAGAAAGGAGCGCGTGTATATTCGTACTCTGTGATAACGCGCTGTATTTCACGAGCCAAAATTTCTGCACGTTTGTACTGAAGCGTGTAGCGAGAGAAACAGAAAGAAA